TTAATAAGGCACCTAAGAGACGCACAATGAGTGATGACTTATTAGGATATCCAGGGGAATCAGGGATGTTTTTTAAATAGTATTAGTCCAGGGTCAGACAGCTCCCTAGAATGGACATACCTAGTATGTACGTGATTCACTTTGTCTTCTGACATTGAGCTGCTTGTTTTGTTTTAATCGAGTACTAAAATTACATCTTGTACTGCAATCAATATACAGAGTTATGGCTCTTTGATTTTTACATGTACATCAGTTAGTTTGACAGGACACATTATGGTATGGCATGGCTGTTTGCCCATCAATCAGAAACTTCTATGTCCACATATCTTTCTCTACAGTTTTCAAGTGATCTATTTTAAACATGGCAGGCTTAAAAACATCTTGACATGATGTTGAATTTTCCTCAATATCTTGTCTGGATATCTCCTCCGTAAGTTTTCCTTTTTTTTTTAATTTTGTAATTTTATAACCATGATATAATATTGTGTCTACATGAGCTGCAATTCAGTACAACAGTATGTTTTGTTACTCATTGTTTTTATTGGCAGTTTGATCTTGCCATGTCAGATTTCCTTTCTCAGTTTAAAACTATCTCTGTAAAACTTGGTAATTGCTTTAATTCATCATCAAAATGTATAGATTTTTTTCCATCTCTACATTTGAGCTAAATGATTGCGATTTCCATATTTGTATTCATTTCAATACTATGAATTATGAGTGTTTCTTTGGCAGAGGATGGGCATATATTAGAACCAATGCTCCCTGTGCATCTGTGTAGCTTAGTAGAAACCAACCATCTTAAATATATGGCAGCCCCGTTCAAATTTTAAAAATTGATAAGTAAAGAATATAAAAGGTTTCTTTTACACTAGGTATTGGATCTAGATGAACCAAGTTATTCTCATTTAAGGTGAAGTGGTGGTGAGAAGTGACCTTTATTGGCCTCTGTGTGAGACAGCCAACAAAACCTTGATGAATTTCTACTATATATATATACCTATATAAATAAGTAAATAGTTGTATGATATTTTAACACCTCAGATTGAATATCAGTCTCTACATTTGTTGACAGATTAGAAAATATAAGATATCTTTTGAATTGAATTTTATCCTGTAGTTCTGACAAAGTTATCTTTGGAATGTTGTCCTCAGTAAAGTACACTTTGATCGGTCTAAAATAGAACAGGTTGGGTAAAATAGATATCAGTATCAGCGGGCTTTATATATACACCTATTCATGACCTTTATAGCAGATCATACTACCTAAATGGTTGTCATTTTGCTTGGTGTTTTAGAGCATCCTCATGAGGTCATTTGTAAATAGGCCTGCGTCAGACAAGAGCTAATTAAACTGATGTTTCACTAGAAAGTTTTTAAACACAGTGAAAATCATATAAATTGTTCAGTTTGGTACAATTTTTTTTTTACATTACAAATAGCTATGTGCTCTGCCTGTAATGTTTTTTTTTAAAAATGCACAAAATTTACATGATTTATACTCAAATGGTGATGATTGCATACTGTTGGCCAAATATAGGTTGTATGACTGCTGATTCAGTGTGTTATCTAAGTTAATATTTATACATCCTCGCCCGCTTGTGTTATCTTTACTTAAATCTTGCCTAGGAAGTGTATTCTGTAAAGTGCACTTTCTTGTTCAAAATATGGCTCATTTGCGGTTTCTAGCTTTAGTTTAGCCAGAACAGTAGATGTATTGTTGGACAGTCTTATGATTCTCGGCCTCGAGTGAATTAATTCACTGCTGTATGACTAGCTATCCAAATATTAGTTATATACTTTAGCTGCCACTTAGAGTGTGTGTTAGTTGACACAATCCATGTTTACAATATAAACAAACTGGTACCAAAAAGGCCGGATATATGAAAATTAGAGTACTCGTGCAAAGTCAGTATGTGAAAATAGTTAATTTACACCGATGTCGCTTTGCAATGTACTTGGGTATATACCTCCGGTGTTAAAGACAATCACAAATATTGAACATTACAGTATATAGGTATATACGTACAGGATCAGAGACTTCACTGTCTTTATAACCTCGTGACAAATATATTATAGATTTAGCTAAGTCTGATTTCTTACTTCATTGTTGTAGGAACAGAAAGACATTAATTAAATGCATACTGAATCTGATTTGGTTAAATTTAACTCTAATAGACATGGTGATAGGAATGTTTGAAATGTGTATGTTTGTCAATATTATACCAAATGACTTTTACTGCTGATATAATTTTCAATGTGATTGAATCAAAGAATATTACCTAAAATTGATAAACCGAATGCTTCATTTATCTGGTCAAGTGTTCAAAGTTATTCAGCCTTAACAAACTCTGATATATTAGTGCACTGTTAAGAACTGTTTCGTCAGCGGTGTATACTTCCATCAGTCTGTCATTACAACTGCTCATTCACTCATTCTGAAAATTTCCTACATATATTTCATTTGTCCCTTGATCAGTTTTGTAACAGATCCCAGTAACAAAATGGTGTCCAGATGACCATATTGGATTTTTAAAGTTGATGATTGTATGTATTGAAAAACATTGGATGGATCTTTATGAAATTTCATAAGACTTCTCTTGGTCCTTTCAATTGTTCATGATCAACTTAATGCTGATTACAAAAATTCAATGGCCACCAGGCAGCCATCTTGTATTTTGACAGTTAATGTTTGCTTGCTGTTTCTTGAAAATCATGTGTAAAATCCCCTTGGTCCCTATAATTGTGCATGGTCAGTTTTTGTAAATGATTGGAAAACAAAATGGCTGACCCAGTGGGCTGCTATCTTAGATTTTAGATGTTGAAATGGCAAAGAAGAGAAAATAACCCAACTTATATAAGAACCAGTGGAGTCCATGTGATGGTAGGTCCCAAAGTCCTTCTGGGATCTACTGTTGTATTACACACAGAATTATTGTTTGGATATATAAATGTACAGGAACTGAAGGTGTATGTAATTTTTTTACACTTTTGCAAGTTAAGGCTCAGTCAAAATACATATAAGACAGCATACATTATGAAGATTTCTTTGACATCGATATCCAGTTAACAATGTATTTTACATGATAAGACAAAATACATACACTGCCCCTCCCTTAAGTACTGAGTTGTCAAATTTGATCTCTTTACGCTTATTAAGGTTAAGTTAAGTATAGGATATGATCAGTAGCCTACAAAAGCCCTTGTGGCATCTGTACGTGTGTGAGCCAGGGCCATTTGTCTGGTTTTGTTGACATTTTGATAAAGTCAGATGATTATCAGATATACAGATTTCACACTTGATTGGATATCTATACTGTAGAGATCATTGTTGTAAGTGTGGCTTGATATTCTAATTCAGTCCTTCTCATGGTTTCAAGCTTAATGTATCTCATTGATTTTGAAAATAACTTTATTGTGAATATTTAATGTTTCTTTGATTGTCAGAAAATATGAAGTTGGAATTGTGAAAATAAAAAAGAATGATGTTGAAAAATAACCAATTTTCAAAAGAACAATTTGTCCAATGTATATCATATTGGACTAGGACAGGTAGGAAGGAAGTTCATTCCACTAACCGTGTGTATCTGATCATCGAATGTCAGTTGAAGATATGTGAAGATTTAATCTGTAGACTTATGGACTATATTGCATGTATCATAATTCATAGGTGATATTGACTCTGTCTATACACCCCATTCTGACACAGTGTACATTTCAGTCCTTACATACCTTTGTAAGGGAGGGCAACAAAGGGTGCAGTCATGGGTCATGGGTTGACTATGGGGTAGGGCGTGACAGCTCCATTGCGTGAGGGAGTCAGAAGATAAGCTTGATACCCTCTCTTACCTTTGAGTATACTATTACCTGACTGTTTTGCCTCTATTCTTCTCTGACTTTCTATCTCTCTGCCATTTTGTATTGCTATATCTAAGTACCACATCAAGTCAATTTGTCTTAGAATCTCATTTTGTCTCATCTCGATATTTACCCTTATTCACCTTTGCACATCTAAGATGGCTACTGTGTCACCTAATTGGTCAAAAACCTGGAGATATGGTCTAAGTTAGACCAAAGTAAGTGTACATCAGGTGTACATGTGTTATATGGCATATAGTGATACTAGTGTCACTTCTCACCAACCGTACCCTCCCTCTTCTAGGTCCTTAAACTTTTTCTTTATTGCTATCTTCTGTGGTAGCATATACTTCGTATCAATTCACCTTGAAGCTGTTTGACTCAACCACTCCCCTCCCCTCCCCACCTGACCTTTGTCTCTATAATTACCCCACCTCTCCCTGCCTGACCTTTTGTATTGAACTGAATGTCACCAAAGTCTCCTCCAAGGCTACGATATGATAGATGGCTACTTGGTAATTTCTTAGTCATGACACACTTCGACTTTCTGAAAGGTTATTTCTGTCTGTAATGACATATTAACTGAGAACATGATTATAGTCTATATGATGGAAGATATCGTGTGACAGTGTTAAAATTTCTTATAACCTGCTGAAGTTACTTTTATATAGAATGTCTGTAATCACCCCTACTGAATACCTCTCTACGGTTTTGATTTATTGTAGATAAAATCTTGATTTTTAAAGACACTTAAATTGGATGTAAATGTTTGGTAAAATTTAAGACCTAAAGACAATTGCCAATACCATTGTGTATAGGTAATCCTTCAGCTCTAAAATCATAACCTTACTATGATTATGACTGTTCATCAGCAGATAGAAGTTTTGATAATCAAATTGTTGTACAATCAGATTATTAAAATTGAAATTGATACAATACCTACAAAAATGTCATACTTAGATAAATGAAATCTATATATACATAATACATGTATGTATATTAATTTTTATAGCTCTCATATACAGGGTAATCCATTATGCTTAAAGAACCATAAAAGAATTAGAAGATCTCATGGTATAGTTGGAGTCAAATGTTTATTAAGTCAAGAGAATCTGTTTTTAGCATGTTTTGGTTTGTCGTTTCAGAATAGAGAAGGACTATACAGCCCTGAAGAGTAAAGAGAATGAAGATCAGATTGAGCTAAGGGTAGGTAATCAGTATTATATATTGTAACATGTAATGTTGATCAAACCTGATAAAGTAAACAACTGTCACAATTATTTTGATTTCCTTAATTGCATCATCTTCTGTTATGAATCAAATGCAAAATGTATTTTTTTGTGAAGTTGAGTTGAAATAGTTATATTTCAGGTTTAAAATTTGTTTGACCTTGAGTTTGATCTTGTTTGAACAGAGGTTGCGGACAGAGAACAGACTGTTGAGACAGCGTGTAGATACACTGGAAAAAGTAAGTGTTTGAACAAGGATATTAAGTCTACATATAAATTATATTGACCAGAGTTCTGAGAAACAAGGGTTTGCAGGCAGAGATTTTAACTGTGATCCGTTGTTATCAATGGAATGTGCAGCAGTACAGTTGCTGGTAATATGTTTTACATACTTCGTGGTTAAATATTGCAAAGTACGGTATAGATCACTGTCCACTCAATGTACTGTACGCAATTCAACAATTAGATTATCAGTGAAATTTTACTTTAACAGTAGATCTAGAATTAAACCAGATTTTTTTACTCAATGTATTATTGCTTTACCTTTAATAATTGACAAAGTCAGACTTCCTGAAGTGAAAGTTAGACCTGAAGATAAAAGGGCTAAGTGGAATAGAAAAGATATAAAAGTATTATAATGTGACATCTAAAATACTGCACAAATACAGATTGACATTTGTATGAATGAAAGTATAGACGGTAAAATAGAGACAAATACTTACAAAACATTTTCAGTTCGTGATTTTATGAGCAATATCCATCAACAGTAACTTACACTCTTTACTGTGGAAATACATGAGTTGTTGTCTAGTATTTATGTTCAACATCATGATTGATTCTACTAACTCATACCCCCAAATATCTCCCTCCCCATCCTCCAAAACAGAGAAAAACAAAAAAAAAAACCCACTATAACACAAAAAAAAAGCAAAAAAGAGCAAAAATGCACCTTAGTAGAATTTACTTATAGAAATTAGATGCTAGTAGAAGATATGATCATGTATAATATATCGTTGTAAATCTGTGTTTTGTAGGAGTCATCATCGCTCGCAGATAAATTGATCCATGATCAGGTGACACGTGCTACTGAGGCTGAGGAAACTTACGCACTCAAGAATAAACTGTCAACAACTAAACAGAAACTAGCTGACACAACACGTAAATTAGAGGAGGCTCACGTCTTACTGGACGATGTTAAACAGAGGGTAAGAAAGACTTTACAAAGTAACTTTGTCAGTTTCTTGGCAATGAAAACATTTATCTGTACAGGTTATGGCTTCTTCAATAGGTGTTCAGATTATCGTACATACAAATTTTTATATGTCCTGGTTATCTCCCCTTCAGACACTGAGTATAGCTAATGCTGGGGCCCTAGATGAGGATGAGAGTGAGACTGTGATACAAGGCCTTCAGGAGGAACTCATTGCACTCCGTCTCAAGGATGCAGATACTAATTCTCTAGTCAAAGAGCTTCGATCCAAAATCAAAGACTTGGAGGATGTAAGTGTACTGTACTGTCATATCATCCAATATAAAGGCATTCATTGTACCCAACACTACTGTGCTTAGTACCTTCATTACAATCTATATACGTTGACCAAGGTTTTGGACTGTTATATTGATGAAGTCTGCTGCAGACATCTATTTATCACAGACTTGGACTGAAACTTTCTTCTTCGGTCAGCATTTGATATATCATCTATCATCTCTAAGGAGACAATAATATCACCAGAACACTTTACATATCAGGACAAGAAAAAATTATCAACATAAGTAGGGGATAATTTTTTTCCATTTTTCCTTTCAGATTTTCTCTCCATGCTGTCACTATCAGCTGAAAATTCACAGTAAAATGTCTTTCTTACCTGTGGCACGTTTCTTAAATCAGTTTTGTTATGTTGTTTATCAGGTCACTTTTCCCTTATAACTATCAAATAATCAAGTATTTTTATACATGTACATTTCAGTCTAGTGTTCCTAAATCCAAGATATATTATGTCTTGTTCATGATTCTGTTCCATCGTAAATAAATGTACATATATATGCTCACATGTGCAGTAAATTGAAATCCTTTCTCTCCTACCAGACAAATCTACAACTACAGAGAGCTCCAAGTAATGATATACAGAACCTACAGGAGGTGTTGATCGCAGTCAAGCTGAGGGAAGCAGAGGCAAACCTTTCACTCAAAGAGATGCGACAGAGAGTACATGAACTGGAATCACTATGGGAGGTAGGTTATTGGCGTTAAATACATTCAGCATAAATTTTTTTTTTTTGAGTTTTTGTAGACTTGGCTATAACAAAAGCCACTTAATATTGGATGTAGAGAGCACTGTTTATGTATTTGGTATATTTGGATGTTACAGAAACATATAGAGAGTATGACAAGAGATCCTGTGTCTCCAAAAGAAAAGACAATAAAACAGGAACTGAAGCAGATCAATGAGGAACTAATGACTGTCAAAATCCGAGAGGCCAACTGTTTGTCTGATCTCAAGGAGAGCAAACAGAAAATCATGGAATTTGAAACACAGGTATATTATATATCCACAAAGCAATGCAGTAATGTTTCACAGTTCTATTTGGATGAATCTGTAGTAAACTGTCCTTTTTTCTGTGTCTGTATTTCTTTGTATTTTATATAACCTTTACCTATATCCAAGCAGTCTTCATGTACCTAAATGTTATCCAAGTAAAGTTGTGAATAAGTTGTGTTTAGTACAAAGAATAATAAAGTGTTTGTGTATAGTTGAAATTCTTAAAAAGGGAAAGTGTACCGTTTGTATGATCCTATGGAGATATTTATATATATAGTGTGTGTTTCATTACAGAACCATATATGCACAAACCAGATACGTAGGATGGATGATGAAAATAAAACATTGAAATCCAAACTGGAAGAAAAAGATGTATTGGAAAAAGATTATAAACATCAAATTCAGGAGCTTAATAGAAAGATGGATGATCTTCAAACGCAGGTAAAAAACTCTGTCTGAATGCTAAAATACATTCTAACACAAAATATTTGATGCAAAATTTGACATTTTCAAAATCGATAAAACATACCAAAAAATCTGATGATGAAAGTTTAGAAAAAATATTGTGACCTTTGTTCTCTGGTTGTGTGATTGTTCTTAGTATTGTTATTATGAAGAACTTAATCATGATGATTTCTACATGATCAAAACAATTGTTTGGTTATACATATATTATCCTGGGAGTTTTCTGGAACAAGCTCGAAAACAAATAAGAGATGAGAACACCTTGACAAGGGAAGTAATTCACTTAAAACGATATCAGACAATCAGTGTCAAGAAATAGCGTAAAGATCTATCTACCACACTGTACTTACAATAGTCTACTGGTATATACATTTATATTGATTTATTTATTCAGAGAAAGGAAGATTCCATGATGGTTAGGATACAGGAGGCAGAACATGCCCAATATGTAGCCACACTCAAACAGAAGATTGCCGAGCTTGAGATTCAGGTAAAGGAGGGCGAAAAAAAACAAAAACAAAAGTAAAGCTGAGTACAAGATAGAGGGACATTAAGCAAGACATACCGAAAAAATTGAGCTTTAGAAATATAGATTAAGTTGAGCAAGAGAAACATGTAAAGCTGAGCTTAAGAGATACAGGTAAAGTTGAGCAAGGAGATCCAGGTTAAGTTGAGCTGTAGAGGTACAGTGAAGCTTAACTGTAGAGATAAAGGTGAAGTTGAGCAAGGAGATGCAGGTTAAGTTGAGCTGTAGAGGTACAGTGAAGCTTAACTTTAGAGATAAAGGTAAAGTTGAGCAAGGAGATTCAGGTTAAGTTGAGCTGTAGAGGTACAGTGAAGCTTAACTTTAGAGATAAAGGTGAAGTTGAGCAAGGAGATTCAGGTTAAGTTGAGCTGTAGAGGTACAGTGAAGCTTAACTTTAGAGATACAGGTAAACTAGCAAGATATACTGTTTAAGTTGAACAAAATGCAAAGCTGAGCAAAAACTGTTATGTGCTAAAACATGTCTCATACTGCAAGCACTGAAATCCACAAATATTGCGATAATTTACGATGTTTGTCTGCACTATCCATATTCAATGGTATGAGACTGGCAATATATCAATTTGTGTCTCAACTCCATTCAGGCATGTAAAGCTGAGGTATTTTATCCTGCTGGACAAAATGCCTATACGTTGTATACTTATAACCCTGTCTACAGATTATAGGTAGAAATACTATGAGTCTGGTATGCTTACTGTTATAGAAGGAAGAATTGTTGACTGCTGATCGTCTGGACACCAAAGTTGGTAATCAGGACCTGGAAAATCGTATCTATGACCTTCAGGATGAGGTGTGTGACCTCGCTCAGTCTGCATGCTCTACTGCACATGACCGATCCTAGCGTGTGGGTGTTTTCTAATTCTCTTGTCTTTATTACCATTCCCTGTGTACTGCCCCCTTGTATGTATTTCGTTTGGCCTTGATGTTTTTACTATAATGTTTTTTCCAAAACAAACTGTTATCTAACATTTTTTAAAATATTGTCTAAATTTTCTATTTTCTACTACATAAGTAGGAATTAAAATGGTTAGTAACACATTTTTTTGTATACACTGTATATATGTGTGTATACATTTTAAAAAGAAACTATGGAATTTTTTTTAACAAAACTTATATTAAAGTTACAGGAGAAATCTTTCGATTCAATTTAAACATTTTTTTTATATGTAATGTTTCTCATATCTTATTATTGCTGTTAAGAACTGAATACATCGCTTGATTTCCCTATGTCTATTAGCTGTTGTCATTCTTTTAAAGAAAGGTAAAGCGTTTTATGTCACATCTTTAACTTTGATGAGAAATGGGTTGTCCAATTACATATTAAAGGTATGATAGCTTACCTGAATGGCATGTTTATCCTGTGTTTCTAGTTTTAGTAAGTTGGAAGCTTTTTGTGGGTTTGTTAAATTGGTTTTATTTTTCCTGCCCTGCTTTTAAGCGAAAGGTCATTGTCAATAATATGACATGACTTGCCTTTTTTATTTTTCTGTTAAAGTTTTATCTTAACTACCTTTTTGTATCCTTTTGCCAAATAAAATTAGGTCACAGTGTAACCTGTACAGCTTCACTGTATAAATGTTTGATTTCAGATTTGGGATAAGCAGTCTTTTCACTCTTTTTCTGTGGCACAATACATTTACAAGCTAATTTACTTATCAAACTTCGCTGTATATAGATTGATGTATGTTTAAAATACATGTAAAATCTTTCGCATGAAACCAGTTTGTTGTATTGTGTATCAGTCACCCCCATTTTTCCTGTTTTTCTTTCCAATCAAAATGTCAGGAAGTGTCCTTGTTAATCCCCTGTTAGTACGTCAGGAGATTCTTTACATTCTGTTCTTCAGTCTTGTCTTGATATATTCTCATAACCAGGATATTTCACTTTTTCACCTTCAGTTGACAATTATTTATTGTGAGTCCTAGATATTTCACTTTTTCACCTTCAATTGACAAATATTGAATGTGAGTACTAATGTATGACAGGGTGTTGTATATGCATGTACACATACCAATACTGAAATTGAGTCCGGGGATCATTTACTGATTCATTGCGGATTCATGGTGTCCTTTCATTCTGGGCATGTCTCATACTGTATTACCTACTAAGTACCTCATTCAGTGATGAAGTGTTCTCTACTAAATTTATGCTCTAATAACAAGAGTTATTGCCCTTCATTCACGTCAATGTTTATTATGTTGTCACATGTGGCATGTCCCTACAATTGTCACTCTAGCTATTTATTATATATTTGGGTTAAGTTAACTGACATCAATGTATAGATAGTTCATGCCTTTCCTTCTTTATACCAAAGTTTCTACAGGGATAGGTGTTATAATGGATTGCTTATAAGGATCTGCCTTGCTTTGATTTAAACTTCCAATTCTGCATGAAAAATATTTAACATCAGGGACCTTTCATTGTATAATTTTTGTGCTAAAATTCACTTGTATTTAACGGTTACATGATTTTGACTTAAAGAACTTTTTTTTTAAATCTGGTGTCTTTTGTCACATGTCTTGCATATTGATCAGGACAAAATATTCCAGCAAGTATGGTTTTAATCATATTTTCATATTATGATTTTAATTAAAAGTAAGTTTTTCTTGATCCATGGCATGAGATTAGTAGACATTACAAACTTTGAATTTTTTATTTTGTTTTTCTGAAAGTTTTGTCAAATGTTCCCAGTCCTTTCCACTCTCTGCTCTGGTTTTTTTCATGTAGAAAAGCATGGATATATCCAGCTTGAATTTTTATTTTTTTTTTTTTTTTATTATTATTATTTAATGTTATTATTTATGTATTTAGTTTTAACAATAATTAGTCTATACCTTTACTATTTATTCTCTTTACATTTCTATACTGAATAAAGTCTGAAATTCTAGATGAGAACAATGGTTACCTGTCAACATCTGAATATTTACTGCTTTTATCACAGCTCATCACTGTCCAGTACTTCCCAGTCATTACTCCACAATTTCCATCATTAAGCAATAGTGCTGCCCCCACCCCTCTCCACCCCCACCCCTCTCAACTCTTACAGTTTAATACTCTAGTTCAACACATACCTAACACATTTGACCTCAAAGCAAGTCAACAAATGGGTAATGTTGTATTTGATTCTGATGTCTGGACTTTTAGAATGCAGTTCGAGTGAACAATCAGATCAAAACGGGTGTCCAAATAAGACTTTGCTATGTTCCAACATGTAATATCATATTCCTGATCCAAATATTTCTTTACTACTTGGACACTTTCAAAATGTAACAAATTACATGGTATTGAGACTGAATATCAGTGTATAATTAAAATATAAGGTGATTGTTGCACAGTTTGTAAGATGATGTCAAGTATACAGGGCTACTGTTTTATGATATTGTAATCATTTCAAACATCCCAAAAGACTTCATAGTACAATTCACTTAATTGGTGGTTTCAAGATGGTTGCCGTTAGTAGATGCCATTTTTCAGCTTTTCATGCTTAAATTTGTGCTTGCTGAACTTACATGTATACAAACATGTATATTGCATTGGTGCACAGATTTCACCACATTTTGAAATATATAAATCTTCATTTTTGGAAATCTCATGAATGAATTGTAAGTCAAGAAATGTCAGATATAACAATTGTTGCCTTGATAACAAATTTTAAAATCTCAATCCAATATTTTGTAATTCAGGTTTGGAGAATTAAATAAGTAACATAACAAGATAAAGTATGTAGCTTAATATTTAATACACGAATATAATTTTTTAATCTTCATTCCTAATTTTTCACATATTCTTACCTATCAAATGTGATGTCCTCAATTATCATGATCACTGAACATTGTTTCATTACACTTCCTCGAGAGAGTGAATGTTTTAAGTGGTATGTTTAGTTTTTTTCAATCTTCTGAATTCAACAATCATATTTTCTATCATTTCGAGTAGATTTTTTCATATATAACTTATCAATGACCATACAGTAGGCCTAATACAAAGAATTATACCAAACACAATAAGCCTGGTACATATAATGCTTTTAGACAACTGCTTCAACTAGACTGCAATGTTGTATTGGAATAAATATAAAATGGTGCAACTACAATATCAGGTATTTGTTATATAAAAGAAGCATACTTACATATGTATCTCATACATCGACTGATTTCTGTGTTATTATGTTCATACCTAATACTTTTAGAAGAGAAGAAAAATAGGTTTTTTTATTTGTTCTATTTTAACTGACATTTGCATCAAATAATAACTGCTTTGATCACTTTTAATTTCTGGAAATGTGACCACTTTTGAAATTCATTAACGTATTTATTTTCTGTGCATGATCACAACTAGAGTTAACATTTGACTAGTTTAAATGTTGTTTGTCAAATCATGTAATGTTTAGATGGCTGGTACATTTGCATGTACTTCAAAATCATTATACAGATATTTAAGAAAACTTGAAACTTACCAATACTTAAGATTGTTATTAATTATTATAAAGCTGGTGTATCATAGAGAATATGATTATATCGTAATAGTGATACTGTAATAAGATATTTACTTGAAATGGCTCTTAATGTACAATGACTTTCCATCCGTATAAAAGTATTACAAAAGTAGATTTATTACAATTTTAGTGCGAGGTACCATGGAAGTATTGTGACATTTTTCCTGAAGGACATTGATGGTCCTTTTAACAGGCTATTTGACAGTTTGTCAGCACATGTACCAAATACCTTTAGTAATGATATGTAGGAAGCAGATTAAAATAGTGAAATCATATGGATGGAGTCTATGTATTCTTTGCACAAAGAAATGATGAGCTTTACTTTGCTAAATTAAGATATAATTGATCTTACAGGTTTTACAACTAAAACTGATGCAGAAATCACCTGAGGGTGAGCGGCCGAAACATAATGGCTTCTGTGGCCCTGGTGAAGGTAAGGTAGATGTGGAGGAGGAGGAGGAAGATGATGAGGACTTCACAGAACTGGAAAACCCAGAAACCTTAAACAGGACTTTGTCGGAAATAGTCGATGGACAAGACTCTCCGGAGGACATGTCATCACAGTTACAATCCAATGGTGCTTCAGACAATTATTTATCTGAAGTAGTGAATAGTGCAACATCCTGTGGTAGCAGATCAGGAAAGGAACTCAAAACAGAAGACTCTTTTATCCGACAGAAGAGCTCAGATAGGCGGCCGTTAACTTGTGATGAATATGGTACCCCCTGGGTGCCTCGAGGTGCCAGTGATATTATTGATGTGGAAATTTATAAGGAAAGTAAAGTGTAATAATTGTACAGGTTTTATTTATAATTAATATGCAACTATTGATGTGTTTGTATTGTTTGGCCAAGGCAGGGACAATACAATGCTTTGGTAGTGAATGTACACTTCAATAAATTTAGTCATGTCAGAAATATATACAGTCACAAGTACTTAAGTGAAGTAGTATGTAAATTTTAAATTATTGTTAACTTTTGTCTTTTATGTGAAGATTACTATATAAGTGTTTATATTACAAATAAAAAATGCTAAGCATAAAAAACCAAAAGTTTTGTGGGAGAGGTTCTACCATTTGTTATGCGTCATATATATATTGAATTATAATAGCCATGTTGACTGCCTATATAGATCACTAAACAGAAGTAGCTACAGTGCAAACAGATGACAGAGTGTAGTGTGTTGTCTGATCTTACCCCTGCTTTGGTTCCAGATAAGGATGCTTCTTGCCTTGATCCAGGGTTTGGGTGCCCTGTCTGTGATAAGGGTGTTCCTGCCTTGTTTCAATAATTTTGGCAAACCTGTTTGGTATGGGGTGAGGGATGTCCTGCCCTGTACCAGGGGTTGAGTGGAATGTCTTGATTTCATAAACCATATTAAGGTGTCTTTGTCTTGATCTGGTGATTAGCATGTCCTTTTCCCTAGTCCTGGGATTTGGATGTCCATGCCCTGGTCCAGGGGCTTGGATGTCCCTGCTTGAGTTTGGGGTTGGGGTGTATATGGCCTCTATAGTAACAGGCCCTGTTTATGTGTCATACATCACCATGGTGCAACATTGTTATCAGTATTTTTTATCCTCATCTTGATTCATTGTACACAATTTTTAGTGTGTTGTGTTTAATGTTTTCATATTTTTGTAATTTTATTGACATTTTCATTATGCATGAAACTTCTCTCACTTTCACCATGTTTCAATTCTCAGTCGCTCAGCTTTTTTCAACTCTGGATTTTAGTCAAATTGGACTTGCTAATTAGCTAATGTAGTACATTATGTAGTATCACTCTGTTATTAGAAAATATAGAAGTGGTTGGAGTACAGTGAACCATCCTGTATGCTCTACATTACTCCCAGGTAGATATTTTGTATTCTTATGCCATTTCTATATTCTGCGCTACATCATTCCTTGACACTGATTCATCATGAAATTTGGAACCTCATTTATCATGAAATTTGAAACAATTGAGACAAATCTCACAAATTATGTACATTCTGTCAATATATCAAACTTATTCAATCTTTTATTTTTTGTGATCAGCTGTTCTGTTTTGGTTGTCTCCCTTGCTTTACCAGTCCTTCATTTGCTGATAAATAGCCAAAATACTAGCATATGTACCAGGGTATAGAAAGATAAGGAACTTAATCCAGTGAAGACATTATTACATGTATTAGTTCTTTGAAATTTTAAGTCATCCAAGTCCCCTCATTGCAGTTTTATTTACTAAAGCTCAATTCAGTTTTCACATAAACAATAGTGTGACTTCACGCAGACAGACTTCCCTATTGCTGGTGAGCTGTAAGAAGTGAGGTACATTTCCAAAACAAAAATGGGAAAGATGAATCAAAATAATCTTTCATAAACATTTTTCAGTATTATGTGAAAATAATGCAACTTTCTACTATCAGATATTATGTAACTGCTGAAGTGTCAACCGCACTGTCACATTTTCAAGGCGATACAATTTTTTAGATTCGGACTCATCTGAGGATTACACCACATTTATCTGCTACAACAGTTGTCAAAATAAATACCATTGTGAGATTTTCATTCTAGAATAGACAACCATTTACAAATGCATCTGTAGATTTATAAGATGTCATGTCAGTTTGGTTCAGTTCTAAAGGAGATAATTCTATTTGTTAACCATTGCTTTGAAGCCATTGCATGTGTATGAAACAGGGGAGGGGGTTGTGTTGTCTTGATGTAAAGGGTCAGGGAGCACAGTGCTCAGGGAGATAACTGTATTTGTCAACCCCCATTATTTTTGAGCGATAGAATTAAACAGGTGTGGGGGAATAATGACAAGGTTGTCATTATTGTGTGCAAACATCTCGTTTTAGATGTACATTGTTATGTAAAGTAAGCTACGCTGTCTCTGTATTTTGTACTGTGAAAAAAATATTTACTGTGCTTGCAATGCAATATTCAACGAATTTAATTTTTAACATGGTTTTAATGACATGTTAAATCCTGCTTCTTACACAAAGTTATTTATTTAGTGAATCATGTTTTGTCACAAATAGTCACACTTTTTAATATGATTGTTACTGTACTGTAGTGGTGATGAGAGGGTCATAATAGAAATATTAAATGGTAAGAAATAAAATGTGGCAGTAAGCTTGTGACTTTATTTTCATATATTTCATATCATTTGATTGAATCATGGATGTTTTAATTACAAAAGAAATTTATCAATATATCTGCAAAATTGAATTAGAACAAACACTGAAGAATGCAATTTCTCCCTTTTTTTCCAGCTTCCTACTTCTTTTTAAGAAATATTGCTGTACCATAGTAATTATATACTGTAACTCTTCTGAAAAATGTTTAGCTCACACTGAAATAACTCTTGTTTAATATTACAAAGGGTATTAATATTAGCTGAGAGTGAAATTCTAGTTTATACATGTAATTGTTGATATCAAAGATATGATATATAGATAATCATATGCATGTTATCATAAACTTGATATCAATCAAAATAAAGCCTGAGAAATGATGTTTGTTCAGTGAAATTTCCTGTAATGGATGTCATAATGTGTGCTTTTCATTCCATGTTCATCAAATACCAAGTAAAATGGGTCATTGTTTATAGTGTTAGATATTGATACTTTAAAAATCATGAAACAAGCATGAAGTGAAAAAGCCTTGTTAGATTAAAACTTTTGAACTCTCTTTGTAGATCACGTATGAAATAGAAATTTTTATTCTCTTATATTATACTCACCCAGTTCTCTATGTCCCTTGCAGCTAGGATTGTGATTTTCTGTCTTTTCAAATCTCTAGCACCTTTATGTTCACATTTATCCACATGACAAAACACTAAACTGCATTTAGAATATTCTGTGTCAGAATTGAGATCAGGGAATGGGTGTTTTGGAGACAAGATCGGTGTATGAATTAATGACGTGTATATGTGTAAAATGACACGAAATATCTTTAGTCATTTATGTTGACTACAATTGAAATAAGTGATCTTAGTTGTTACAGAATTTATGTCTATTATAAAACAGTCAACTACTCAGGCTGGTCATGTTTCTAATTGTTCAATTGTTCCCACAAATATCACTGTGAAGGGAATCATTTGTGTTAGACTTGTTATGATATGTGCCAAACAGAACATTTGAGATAAGTTATATAAGTGATGGTTCTCTTTGTCAGACATTAAAATGTGATCAGATGTAATGGGGTTGATTTTGTAACGTGTTTATGTTGAATAAATCTTTAAGGAAAATTGTCATTTAGTGAACATAACCATGTTCCTTAAAATCAAAACAATACAGGTTTTCTTCATAATCCAGAAAGAAAACCTGAATCACTTGGGGTTTTCAAAGTCTTCAAGATCAATTTTTTTTCAAGAATGTAAACTCAAATTGAAAATGGTTATGTTCTTTTTTGATACTTAAGAATGATTGAACAAAATTTTAAAGAAAATAGGTCTTTTTTGACTTGTCATGTCTAATTACTTTAAAATGTCTATGTAACTGCTTGTGTCATTTCAAAACTCATTTCATTTGTACAAAAATCATTTACTCTAAGGAGAACATGTTATTAGTCTACAAATAGAAATGCTGTTACAACAACAATATGAAGACATTTTAAGAAAACATGTACTTTATGAACTGCCTTGCGATGTGCTTGTTAGGTGTTGAGTTTTTATCCTTGTCCACAATGTGTTATGAATGATTATGTATAAGGTTTACATGTGTCCAAGCTTGAAGTGAAGGGACACCAGAAAGTTGTCTGACACTTGCTCAATACATCTTCTGTTGTAGCAGGGTAATAGCGAAGCAGAGTTTTTACCTAGGAAACATTTGTTTATCGTACAGACTAATATTGAAGGTTAGAATTAGTCTGTTGTTGTATCTTGGATGATAGGTTGTTTTTAAATCAGATGGGATGTATTTTTTATGGCAGCCCCACTCTGTGAGGAAGTGTTGAGTGACTTTCAGACAATATATACTTTTATTTGATGACCCAATCCATGCAAGTACAGACTGGACGCCTGCAACATTTGATCATCATGTTATTTTGTACCTGATGCAATTGACAATAAAACAGAAAATGTATGAAATTTGTCATATTTTTGTGTTCCTTCACAATAAACCCAGAATGTTAGATCCAACATTGCAACTCTACCATAGCAACAAAAACCTTAACTGGATCTATAATCACCCTTAACTATAAGCACTACCCTAAACTAGAATATTCTTAACCTGATCAAGAGCTACCCTTAACTGGATCTACCACTTCCCTTAACTTGATCTTGCATCATCCTTAAACTAGGTCTACTAAAGTGATTGCTCTTGACCCATTAAAGCACTTAACTAGATCCAATACTTCAAGTAATTAGACCCATAACAACACTTCAAAAATCACTACCACTAACTAGACCCATTAGAACACCTAACTTGATCTATCTCTACCACTAACTATCTAGACCCTTTGGAACACTTTACTAGATCTACACCCTACTACTAACTGGGTTAGATAAACACTTTCAACAGGTTGATCACACACTAGCACCTGCTAGATCTAACATTGAATCAGAATCTGTCACTAACGTAATCAGACACCATCACTAACTAAATCAGACACTATCACTAAGTAAATCAGACACCGTCACTTACTTAATCAGACACTATCACTAAGTAAATCAGACACCATCACTAACTAAATCAGACACTGTCACTTACTTAATCAGACACTATCACTAAGTAAGTCAGACAACATCACAAAATAAATCAGACACTATCACTGACTAAATCAGACACTATCACTTACTTAATCAGACACCATCACTAAGTAAATCAGACACTATCACTAAGTAAATCAGACACCGTCACTAACTAAATCAGACACTATCACTAACTAAATCAGACACTATCACTAAATAAATCAGACACTATCACTAAGTAAATCAGACACTGTCACTTACTTAATCAGACACTATCACTAAGTAAATCAGACACCATCACTAAATAAATCAGACACTATCACTGACTAAATCAGACACTATCACTTACTTAATCAGACACCATCACTAAGTAAATCAGACACCGTCACTAACTAAATCAGACACTATCACTAAGTAAATCAGACACTATCACTGACTAAATCAGACACTATCACTAACTAAATCAGACACTGTCACTAAGTAAATCAGACACTGTCACTTACTTAATCAGACACTATCACTAAGTAAATCAGACACTGTCACTAACTAAATCAGGCACCATCACTTAATAAATTAGACACTATCACTGACTAAATCAGACACAGTCACTTACTTAATCAGACACTATCACTAAGTAAATCAGACACCGTCACTAACTAAATCAGACACTATCACTAAGTAAATCAGGCACCATCACTAACTGAATCAGACACTATCACTAACTAAATCAGACACTGTCACTTACTTAATCAGACACTATCACTAAGTAAATCAGACACTGTCACTAACTAAATCAGGCACCATCACTTAATAAATTAGACACTATCACTTACTTAATCAGACACTATCACTAAGTAAATCAGACACTATCACTTACTTAATCAGACACTATCACTAAGTAAATCAGACACTGTCACTAACTAAATCAGGCACCATCACTTAATAAATTAGACACTATCACTGACTAAATCAGACACAGTCACTTACTTAATCAGACACTATCACTAAGTAAATCAGACACCGTCACTTACTTAATCAGACACTATCACTAAGTAAATCAGGCACCATCACTTAATAAATCAGACACTATCACTGACTAAATCAGACACCGTCACTTACTTAATCAGACACTATCACTAAGTAAATCAGACACCGTCACTTACTTAATCAGACACTATCACTAAGTAAATCAGACACCATCACTAAATAAATCAGACACTATCACTAAGTAAATCAGACACTATCACTAAGTAAATCAGACACTGTCACTTACTTAATCAGACACTATCACTAAGTAAATCAGACACCGTCACTAACTAAATCAGACACCATCACTGACTAAATCAGACACCGTCACTTACTTAATCAGACACTATCACTAAATAAATCAGACACTATCACTGACTAAATCAGACAACATCACAAACATAACCGGATACTATCATTATCTACACCCATTTTAACAATTAACTACATTCAAAGCTATCTTAGATTTACATAAGAGACACTGCTGAAAACCTGATCCAACACTACAGCTTACTAGACTCACCTCTTCCATCAATTAAGTATAAACATTGCCTAGATAACTCTACATAAACAATTAGACCAAACGGCATGTTGTTAAATAACGTTCTAATCTTTATCCTCTGACGCCCAAAATTATTAATTCTGGTTGGACTCTAGCCAAGGTCAATAAGAGAAAATAACATTTTTTTTCAGATTTACATATTTTATCTCCGGTTACATATTGCTGTTGATCCAGGAAAGAAACTTACTGACTCGTACGTACACACTAGGGAAACCCTACTATCTGATGTAATGGTAATGTAAGCAAGGGAGCAACAACACGACAGAGTTCTCTATCTCTCAATGAGCCTCGCCGTCGCATTCTCTATCTCTCGATGAACATCGCCGTCGCATTCTATATTTCTAGATAAACCTTGCCGTCGCATTCTCTATCTCTTGAACCTTGCCGTCGTATTCTCTATCTCTTGAACCTTGCCGTCGTATTCTCTATCTCTTGAACCTTGCCGTCGCATTCTCTATCTCTTGATGAATCTCGCCGTCGCATTCTCTATCTCTCGATGAACCTCGCCATCTCATTTTCTATTTCCAGATGAACGTCACCGTCTCATTCTCTATTTCTAGATGAACCTCGCCGTCATGATTTTTCATCTTTGTCGCGCTTTTTCGACTCTTGTTATGTATTTGGCTTTAATCAGCCACCATACCAAACCGCCTGACCAAGATAAGTTTATTTTTAATTTCTTTTGTACAATCATGACTCTTAGAACGTATGATGAAATGTCATGTCTACCCCTGACTTTTAACGATGTAACCGAAACTAAATCTGTCCATTATGACAAAAATTATACAAGAAAATATTTCAGTCATATCGAACTTTATATCCTTCAAATAACCATTCTTAATGTTATTGTTACGCTATAGATATCAATCAAGCTCTCATGTTTTATTGATTAAAGTTTTAATCCCTTTCTACATTGATTTTTTTTTCAATGTTAAAATATTTCTTTTAAAAAAAACAACATAAGCTATTACAGAGCTACAAACACAATAAAATAAAACAGTCCTGTTGTGTTGTTGCTTTAATTTTTTTCAATCTGGACAGGGTTCAAATTGTCACGGTACAACACAGTACGCATCCATATTGTGACGTCAATAATTAAGAATATATTATTACGTCATAGATATGCCGAAATATAATACGATATGACGTAACAGATAAGCTTTAGTTCATAGCAACCTATACGTTTCGGAAAGCTGTCATTTATCTGCGATCCAAAATTAACGACATGGGCATAAATAGTTCTGCCTTCATTCGATATCACCCACCTTTTCATGCTAGGAACAATATATTTATACGGCTCCCTCCAGTAAGTTCAACGGACAGCATCTACAACTATAAGCCATCCAATAAGGACGCTCAGAAATACTACGAAGCTTACATCAAGACCCGTTCTTTGATACTCCAAGCTGAGCAGATGGAGAGGGAAGCCAATCGGAAGTCTGGAGAAGAGGCCAAAGAACTAAAGAGTGAGGCTAAACAGATAAAAGCTGATGCAAAAGCAATGTTAGAGAAAATTGGAAAATTATGGGACTTAGCCGAATATAAGACTGTCAGTCCAATGACACGTACTCCAGATCGCGATAAGAGAGAACGTACTGAGACAAAGAAAAAGAAAACCGATGTCAAGATTGATAATACTAAAAGAAACATTCGACTGGCTCCCGTACCGAAAGTGAGCGAGGAATCACGAAAGGCAGATGAAATACATCGTAGAGCACTAGCTGTAATGGACGAAGCCCAGTGTATGATGTGGGAGTCTAATATGCTTGTGGGCCAGGAAGCCAGACTTCTCAGGAAGGAGGCCGAGGAGTTAAAACAATCTGCAGAGGAAATGATAAAGAACACGAGCCATTATTGTCTTGCTGCTGAGGAAATGCGACGCCTAAAGATGCAAGAATGTGTAACAGATGTAAAAGACACAAAAACAGGAAAGAAGACACGACGAACAAAGTCTTCTAAGAAACACAGGATTAGTTCTTCGAAAGACTGAAAAGTGGGGCAATTTCAATTGGATTACCGATTTTCATTGTCACTCGTAAAATGATGTTGCAAATGTACCAGTAACTATCTTTTTGCATTTTAATTCTTTGTCTTTGAACATCTCACGTATTTTACAATTATTAAATCAATTGCACGTAAGAATAGTTTGCTTCATTTGTGCATTCGATCCATTTTCCACAATGTTGTTTTCCAGTTATATCAAATAAGATGTAAATTCATTATTATAGAATTAAAGTCTCGAAATGACAACATGTGTATATGAATGATCACTATATACGGGTGGTGTAACTAGTAATTGGCGTAGAAAAATCTTTGATAACATGTTTATCAATAAGTACAAACACTATTACACGAGTCCATGCCGTGATCTTAACTGAGAGTTTTCCGTTCGGTAGAACTCGAACAACAATAGAAATCAGAGCTGTAGTACTATGGAATAGTCTGACCTTGTCAGTGTCCTTTCTGGCCATTGATCCGTATTTGGACCCAAAACACGTCGAAACGATTACTTACAGTTGGTATACCCCGACGGGAATGGAACCTTGTTAAATTCTAGCCGCAATGACCCGTTCGGTAATAGAAAGCTCCTCATTAGTTCGATCGATTTAACGTTCGACTAGGAAACCTCAGGCCTCGGGTTCGAATCTTAGCGGAGCATTGGTAGAAGTAATGACCTCATTTACAGAAAAATCAAAAGGTTTCAATTTGTCAAGTATTTAATCGACAAATACAGACATAAAAGCTGTAAAAAAGCTTTTTCTCCAAATCTAAACGGTTATCGATCGGAACAGAGTACTTAGAATTGGTTTTAATATATACATGGTATATGTAAATAAAAAGATTTTTGATGTGCGAAATGCAGAGGTACCATAGACAGGCAGCGGGGAAATAGAAAAAGTGTGAATTTGAAACTCTTTGTTTACATTTTACGTTCGAATTAAATGGTGTTAAAACAAAAAATGATTCTGAAGATCTTCGATAATTACAATGATTACAAGATGACTGATGATTTAAGTGCGGTATAGGGTTGTTTGACTGTTAGTTATAACGACTTATTATAACAAAGTGCTATGATGTCTTTCAAATAAGGCACAGGTAACAAAAACCTTAATACTTCACATATACTACGGACAGTAGTCATGGGGTCTGCAAAAGCTAGAAATAGTCCATCTATTATCATGATTTAATTCTCCAAGGGAATTCAGGATATATGAACTACACAGCATTATGCAGTTTGTGCAAAACGTATGGTCCGTCGAAATCGGCGTCTATGTTTTGTTGAAACTATACACACAACGTGAAGACATTATTTTTGTAAAAGATTTAATTCTTGTATTCAATGTTTGCTGAAAAAGAAAAGAAGAATATATAATACAGCATAAAGGATATCGATATGTGTAGCTTTCAGTACGATAAACCCACCAAACAGTCTATAGCACATTACTACAGATATCTGTATTTATAATTTCAATTGGTTTTGTATTTCATTGTTCTAAATGATTTAATTTAACATTATAATAAACTGATAAAGCGTGCCATGATAGGACTTGTTTAAGAAATACACCTCCGATATCATCTACAATATGTACATACCTTTCTGACTGAATTACGTCATTTTGTTGATAGGCGGACTGTTTAGGATGACGGAGGGGGTGGCTGCATTGTCGCCATCTGTAAATTGTATACTTTAAAGTAACCGAGTCTCTTTTTCGTCAGTCGATTTTTGTGTTCATTACAGTGTTGTAAGCAACAAACATGGCAATGGCAGTTTGGATTATCGACAGTTAAAATTAAAAATAATCCCTAAGGTATAAACAGTTGCCTGTTTAAATATAATAATGTTATACTATACCTTGGAAACTTCAATAATTGTCAAGTGATCGTCATCTGTAAAGTAAAACACAATCATAATCCAAAAGCCACCATTCTGGGAGGGTATTGTCACACTTCTTAAGATGTGGGGAGGAGATTGTCACACTTCTTAAGATGTGGGGAGGAGATTGTCACACTTCTTCAGATGTGGGGAGGAGATTGTCACACTTCTTCAGATGTGGGGAGGAGATTGTCACACTTCTTCAGATGTGGGGAGGAGATTGTCACACTTCTTCAGATGTGGGGAGGAGATTGTCACACTTCTTAAGATGTGGGGAGGAGATTGTCACACTTCTTAAGATGTGGGGAGGGGATTGTCATACTTCTTCAGATGTGGGGAGGAGATTGTCACACTTCTTAAGATGTTGGGAGGAGATTGTCACACTTCTTAAGATGTTGGGAGGAGATTGTCACACTTCTTCAGATGTGGGGAGGGGATTGTCACACTTCTTCAGACGTGGGGAGGAGATTGTCACACTTCTTCAGATGTGGGGAGGAGATTATCACACTTCTTAAGATGTGGGGAGGAGATTGTCACACTTCTTAAGATGTGGGGAGGAGATTGTCACACTTCTTAAGATGTGGGGAGGAGATTGTCACACTTCTTAAGATGTGGGGAGGAGATTGTCACACTTCTTCAGATGTGGGGAGGAGATTGTCACACTTCTTAAGATGTGGGGAGGAGATTGTCACACTTCTTAAGATGTGGGGAGGAGATTGTCACACTTCTTAAGATGTGGGGAGGAGATTGTCACACTTCTTAAGATGTGGGGAGGAGATTGTCACACTTCTTCAGATGTGGGGAGGAGATTGTCACACTTCTTCAGATGTGGGGAGGGGATTATCAAACTTCTTAAGATGTGGGGAGGGAATTGTCATACTTCTTAAGATGTGGGGTAGGGGATTGTCATACTTCTTAAGATGTGGGGAGGGAATTGTCATACTTCTTCAGATGTGGGGTAGGAGATTGTCACACTTCTTAAGATGTGGGGAGGGTATTGTCACACTTCTTAAGATGTGGGGAGGGGATTGTCATACTCCTTAAGATGTGGGGAGGGGATTGTCACACTTCTTCAGATGTGGGGAGGAGATTGTCACACTTCTTAAGATGTGGGGAGGAGATTGTCACACTTCTTAAGATGTGGGGAGGAGATTGTCACACTTCTTAAGATGTGGGGAGGGGATTGTCACACTTCTTAAGATGTGGGGAGGGGTTTGTCAAACTTCTGACTTATGATTGACATTTTAAAATATTGATAAAATAGTCCTGTTTAGTTAATTTTAACGTATTTTACTTTCATTTAGATAAAAGTACAATATTCATTCGAGTTCCTAATTAATTCCCAAATATAATGTAAAAGTTTTAGGTAAGCCTTTGGTTAACAAAATGAAAAGACATTGATTGAAATATGCTTCGAAAGATCGAACACGGTTAAATGTTACGAAACACTGATTATTTTAGTGTTACGTTGCGAAGCTTCCGGTTCTTTATCTCCACTTTTAGACATGATTTATCATGACTTACGGTCAGCATTGTACTGAGTATACAATGGTCCCATCTGTGCATCACCGATCATCCCAGTAGTTGTTATCTGAGGAAAGATATGATCAGCATCAGCAGCGGTGCCGAACAGCGAAGTGGTCCAACCGTGTTCGAACTCGGCCTTATCTACCGAGTTGTCACCTGTGAAAGTGAGGCTGGAGTTATGAAGACTGAATTAATGACATGGGACTAAAAGATGGAGATATATTCTTTTATATATTCTACGTTCTTTATATACAAATAATCAATCTTAATTTAAATATATGTTATGTTTTGCTAAGGCATTTTAATCTGCGAGTATATTGAAAACATAATTACTAGAATGTGGTATTTTCCTTGAGTTAGCCACTTGCTTAAACGCACATTATCTATTTCAACAGACATTCCATAGGTAAAATTCGAGATCCTTCGACATTATCGATATATTTTACAATACACATAAGCATATAAGAGCAAACCATTTCGTTGAATATGTTCGGGGAGTTCCGTTGCCTTTAATATCTTGGTAAAAACCAAAACCACGACCTCTACCGTAATCAATTAATGTTATCATCAACACAAGGAAATAGAAGCCACTCGGATCTAGCGACCACTTACTATTGAAGTCGAATGAGCTGAAGAAACCGTTGAACTCTGTGGCTGTCAATTGGTTGTCGTGATCCGTGTCTGCTCGCTCAAACAGCACAGCAAACGGTGTCTCCTGGATAATCTAAAGACAGAGCAGAGAAAGAAAACTTATCGAAGAAAACGAGTCTACCTTCCTTAAAGATGTGTATTGTATACACTCTGCCATAAGTCTGAGACCATCAATTTCAGTATGAAAGTTTTGATCCAAACCAATATTTCTTTTTGTAGAACTAAACCCTTTCGTACTCATTGCAGTGTCTCCTTTTGGTACCGTATGCCACCATGTGATACATCCAACTCAAGCGATAACTAGAATTAAACTTGGTACCTCGTACTCTAACAAAGCACAAGTTTGCTTTGCCCTCTAACGCAGCGTTCATATATTTTAAATTGGCACGTCGAAAACTGACAAATGCTGAAAGATGGCAGGCCTCTGGAATGATTCAGATTGTATGACATACAGGCAATTAGCTTCACGTTTTAATGTTAGTCATTCTGTTAAAGTTAATGCAGCGTCTGAACCAAACTGGGCATATTGACAGGCGTCCCAGGTCTGACACACCTCGAAAGACTACAGATAGAAAAATTAGATTTCTGTCAAGACAGACAAGGCAAATCCCATTCACCACTTCCAACAGGCTCACAGGACAGTGGAACATCAGGTTTGCGCTAGCCGGGGAACTGTCAACAGACGTTTGAACAATAAGAGACTTCGCTCTCGTTGACCAGTAAAACGTCATATGTTGACTTAAATGCACAAACAAGCAGGTCTTTAATGAGCACGTGATCACTGGACACGGAATATTAGGTGTTGGCGACGAGACCGCTGGTTCGATAAAAACCAATTTTTACGGACGACATGGTTCGTGTTAGGAGGCCAAGAACGACGGAATACCATCAGAATCACATTCTGAGCAACAACAATTGGTGGCGGTGGTGTTACTGTTTCTTTACTGTAAGCTTCGCTTGCATGCCTTGATTGAACTTTACATGAGCAGAAGTATCGCGATCAGATCCTTAACGTTCGCTTGTTCACATTACGATGTTCAACCATTTGCAGATCCAATGAATGTCACTACCAAACTACACCGATTACAGCAAGACTATATTAAGCAAGTGATAAAGACGCTCACATTGACTGCAATGTTATCAGAATCCATTTGAGCATTTGTATGACTGCTGCGGACAAATGTCCATACACGGGATCCAAAACAGAATTGGCAGATGTTCCTTCAGAACTAACTTCGGCGTTTCGTCACTGATATGAGACGACAGTCACAAGTACTGTATGAGAAGCGTGGTGGCTATACCCGGTATTGACATTTTCATGCCCAATAGAACTCATTAATTAGTTAGTCTTCTTGATAAAGTAACGGGTTTGGGCGATTTGATGACGTTTGTGTTGATAAGAGATGTCTTTTAAAAATGATACGCCACTTTCGGTTCGGTTAATTTCTTTTCCTGTTGACTCTGTATAGTTTCGTTAGATGCCTGAAAACATTCCTATATATCATGTGGAGTTGTCATATGTTTTTTTAAAATACAGCGAACAAAACTAAACCCAACCTAAAATATGGGTGGTCCCTAACTCATGGTCCCCAAGGGTATATCTCAAAAGTCACTTTCGATTTTATTTTACAATTCTACAAAATTAGTACAGAACATGTTCAGTTACACTGATGTAGTGATCCGTTCTATAAAGACATGATGTTGTGTGCATCACAGTATTGTGACAAATGTGTTTAAAAATAGCTATAAGATTTATAAACTCTCGTTTACTAAATCAATATGAGATTAGCTCTGAGCTTAAATTATAATCAGCATGTAATCTGCATGATAGGTTAAACTGGTGAGAATATTGCATAGACAAGGAGACAAGAAAACACATGTTGTACGTCAGCATAATTTCTTATCTGTTATTCCGCGTGATTACCATTGCACGGCGACACTCCTTACCTGGACCCATTTAGTGGCAAAGTTCTTTGCGGTTACCGTTCCGGTACCTGTAAATACACACACATAACTTGATGATCCCTTAGGTCAACCTTACATCGTTGCTTAAAGTTATACTTAGATCTTCCGACGAATGCATTGATCAGTTTAACAACATGGCCAATTTTACCGAATTCAAGTCAACCGAGATCTTCAACTAGATTCATTTTGTGTCACTTAACCTAAATGCTTAAATATTAACTTATATATATTCCAGACTAGTTTGTCAGTTTTAAAATTCTTTGTATTCTCTGTTTATTCTTTACTGCAGCTTTTTATAAGTATGCATCCCGAGAGTTCTGATAATCTGAATTTTTTTATGTCGTTGTGTTCCCTGTTATGACCCGTTCGTAAAGTGAAAATGAATCCAACAAACCGTTGATGTCGAAGACGTGGTAAAGGAGTGGAAGGTCGTGAGAGTCGATGACGTTGTCGTCGTTGAGATCAGCTAAGTGAAAGAATGCCTCAGCGTGCTCTTGGCTCTGGTGAGTCAACAGTTTCCATAGACCAGTAAACTCCGACATTGTCACAATACTGTCATCTGAAAAAAAACACCATATGCCAGCCTTTAATATTCGTGCCTTTTTATGACTCACGGACGATTTTTATTCCATTTTTTTTTTATTTTGTGCTCTTTTTTTGATTTGTTGTGGTGAATTCCACAACATACACGTGTTATATAACCTGTTTTAGTGAAGCTTTACATAACATGTGTTGCAACCACCTATATCATCGCGTGAAACCTTCTTGATACGTACTTTTATATTACCATTATATTAGGAAATCTCGAAAACTTATTGATGAAATTGAATTCATATGCCGTGTTTTAAAATAGACATCTGTGATATATGTAAACCTACTCACTGTTAAGATCGAAGCCTTCAAATACAGCGGCCAGTTCCGGTTCCGTGATAATACCGTCAAAGTTTTTGTCCGCTTTCATGTACAACGTATTGATGAGGCCGTACATGTCCGGGGGCCTAATGGACATATAAAAACAAATTGACGAGTCCATACATGTCGAGGGTCCGAATGGACCCAAAAAACATGTTGATTACACCTTAATTACATTTACGAGATCGTGCAGGTGCAGGGTTCAAATGTACATGTTCAAGGCATATAGTGAACTTGAAGCGGTATTGAGTTGTCGTTCTTGACTACAACGCTAAGCATGATAAGAGTTCTTTCTTGTTTATTGTGAAGTAAGTGTACTGTTTTTATACCAAGAAATTATTCAAAACTCATATGCGCTCATATTTTAGCATGCGAAGCTCTGGATTTGTCGTGACAAATACCAGGGTAAGAAATTCCCTTCCCGACTCTAAATTAGATCGAAATGACGACATTTGCTTTATTCAAGCGATTTCATTGGTTGGTATAATAAGGTGATGGATAATCGTCCTACGTCATTTTAAAAGTAATATGCGATTGGCTGAGGAAAAAAAAAAGTTATAAACGCGAAACTAGGGGATTCCCTGCAAGGCGTACTCTCGGTATACAGTCACGGACTATCTCCTGACTTCACGATAACCTTTTTTGACGTTGAAATTCCGTTTGCTTTTAAATTAGAAATTAATTGTACATTTTCATGAATACTTCTACTTTAATTCGCCGAAAGTAATAGAGTTAATTTTTCATCGATAGCGAACAACGGACGGAAAATTCAACAAACTCGGGCTTTCATGCAGAAGAAACTGTTCGCTCGCCAAGAAAAGTAACTCTGTATATATCTCAAAGGACAGTACAGAGACAGTATTTCCCGCTATGCCTTATGACCACGTAAACACATTTTTGAGACCTTACATATCTTTCGGCCTAATCGACATATAGAAACATATTGATGAGGCCGTACATGTCTTTCGGCCTAATTGACACACAGAAACTTATTGATGAGACCGTACATATCTTTCGGCCTAATTGATACACAGAAACATATTGATGAGGCCGTACATGTCTTTCGGCCTAATTGATACACAGAAACACATTGATGAAACCGTACATATTTTTCGGCCTAATAGACACACAGAAACAAATTGATGAGACCGTACATGTCTTTCGGCCTAATTGACACACAGAAACTCATTGATGAGACCGTACATATCTTTCGGCCAACTAGACACACAGAAACATATTGATGAGGCCGTACATGTCTTTCGGCCTAATAGACACACAGAAAAACATTGATGAGACCGTACATGTCTTTCGGCCGAATAGATACACAGAAACACATTGATGAGACCGTACATGTCTTTCGGCCTAATAGACACACAAAAACAAATTGATGAGACCGTACATGTCTTTCGGACTAATAGACACATAGAAACACATTGATGAGACCGTACATGTCTTTCGGCCTAATAGACACACAAAAACACATTGATGAGACCGTACGTCTTTCGGCCTAATAGACACACAGAAACAAATTGATGAGACCGTACATATCTTTCGGCCTAATTGACACATAGAAACACATTGATGAGACCGTACATGTCTTTCGGACTAATAGACACACAGAAAAACATTGATGAGACCGTACATGTCTTTCGGCCTAATAGACATACAGAAAAACATTGATGAGACCGTACATGTCTTTCGGCCGAATAGATACACAGAAACACATTGATGCGACCGTACGTCTTTCGGCCTAATAGACACACAAAAACAAATTGATGAGACCGTACATGTCTTTCGGACTAATAGACACATAGAAACACATTGATGAGACCGTTCATATCTTTCGGCCTAATAGACACACAGAAAAACATTGATGAGACCGTACATGTCTTTCGGCCGAATAGATACACAGAAACACATTGATGAGACCGTACATATCTTTCGGCCTTAAAGACACACAGAAACACGTTGATGAGACCGTACGTCTTTCGGCCTAATAGACACACAGAAACACATTGATGAGACCGTACATGTCTTTCGGCGCACTCAGAAACACATTGATGAGACAGTAGACATAAGCCCACCAGCAGCGTCTACCATCTAGCAATCTCAGAGGATTGTATAGTAAACACAAACTGAGACAATAGTAAAAGTATGGAAATCTTACCCTGCCTGGGCGGACACCACAGCTACAACGGCAGCGGCAAAAAAGAGTGGAGTCAGCATTTCTAATAAAAAAATGTAATTTCTAGATTTAGATAGTGGATGTCAATGTAAGGATGTCAAAGTTAACAGTCTGTAACATACAATACAGGGAAAGTCTTGGCAACTAAAAGCTTTGGACCATTTCCTCACTTTTTAAAGAAAATGGAGAGGTCAGTTTCGGTTTTGAGGGATCCAATACCTTATAGCTGTATTGTGCCTTCCTGGAATATCTATTATAATTCCATATTGACCAAGCTTACGGCAGATGTGTAGTTTCTGACTCCAGGTACAATCAGTTGATATAATTCAGGCATTCCTTTCTTTAGTATCTTTTTTTTTTAGTTTAACTTTTGTATCTACCATGTCATGTATTTAATTACGAACATTTTTACCAGTATTTTCATCAATTATCACCAGTATTGTAAACATATTCTATGTCGTCTACTATTTGTTCAAGGTAGACGAAGACACGCTGTCCAAAGGGTTGCTCTGACCAAGCTTTGCTTTGTTTGTCTTTTGGTCTCTTTCTGCAGTAGAAATATATCGAATTCACTTCTTTATAATCGTTTACATATAATCTATACTGCATGTAGTCATAGCAAAATAATGTCTTTTGTTTCAGAATCACTGCCACATCGAATTAATGTGAAAACAAATATCATTGCTCCGGCTTCTTGACATTTTAAAGACTCTCCAACAACGGCGTTAGATTATGTGGTGAGCGTCTGGAGTGAAATGTTGCTGTTATTTCATTATCTTTGAATCCAACTGACAACGCAATTTAACGGCATCAAAATGGATAATTGAATTCATAGAAATTGCTTTGTTGTGTACAGTAAATATTGTACAGTCAAAGCTGAGCAGTATATACAGTCACAACTACACCAATCATAGGTCACTCTGTATAGTCACAACTACACCAATCATAGGTCACTCTGTATAGTCACAACTACACCGATCATAAGTCACTCTGTACAGTCACAACTACACCGATCATAGGTCACTCTGTACAGTCACAACTACACCGATCATAGGTCACTCTGTATAGTCACAACTACACCAATCATAGGTCACTCTGTACAGTCACAACTACACCAATCATAGGTCACTCTGTATAGTCACAACTACACCAATCATAGGTCACTCTGTATAGTCACAACTACACCAATCATAGACAACGCTGTACAGTCACAACTACACCAATCATAGGTCACTCGGTACAGTCACAACTACACCGATCATAGGTCACTCTGTACAGTCACAACTACACCAATCATAGGTCACTCTGTATAGTCACAACTACACCAATCATAGGTCACTCTGTACAGTCACAACTACACCAATCATAGGTCACTCTGTACAGTCACAACTACACCGATTATAGACAACGCTGTATAGTCACAACTACACCAGTCCTAGGTCACTCTGTACAGTCACAACTACACCGATCATAGGTCACTCTGTACAGTCACAACTACACCAATCATAGGTCACTCTGTACAGTCACAACTACACCGATCATAGACAACGCTGTACAGTCACAACTACACCAGTCCTAGGTCACTCTGAATAGTCACAGCTACATCAGTACTAGGTCACTCTGAATAGTCACACCGACACCAGTCCTAGTGACTCTGAATAGTCACACCCACACCAGTCCTAGGTCACTCTGAAGTGTTACAGCTACACCAACCTTATGTCACTTTGTAGAGTCATAACAACAGCAACCCTAAGTCTATCATGCCAGTGTTTTAGCCATCTTACAAAACAATTCATACATATTTCAAGTCTATCAGATTCCATATTTATCCTTACGTTGTACGTAACCTATGAGTGATATGTCCATGGTGTTTTAATCTTTGACAATATGAATATATGTTCCTAATCTTAACAACAGTGTTACTGGTAGTCATGAAATCCATTTTTCAAACATGAAACGCTATGGAGTTTTGAACGTCAAGTATTAAAAGTTTATTTCTCAAGTAATTTTCTCGTGCAAATGCTAACAAGCCATCAATATAAACTTTTGAATTCATCTGGGTACGCCATACCGTCATATCTGTTCCCGTTTTTGTATGAATTTTATAAATGTGTACTGCAATTGTACAAAACATAGATACAGAACAAGTATGCAAACATCAAACGCTTAAATGATTGTACTGTTATCAAGACTTCAATGCAATAGTTTTCTGTGGTAGTTCCAATGAAGCAATGTTCCCTTACTAATTCCAAACAGTATCGATATCATGATGATGATGTGGCAGCGAGAAAATTAATATTACAACATGGAAAAAATCGCGCTTAAACAGTTAAATATTATCTTTTTAGTTTCTTTAACAATGTGCTATCATTCAATCATCCACCCAGACCTCATTATCTTCAGACTGTATTATACTTTCCATGAGGAACTTACCACGTCTTCTTTGACAAATGTTTCAGTACTGAAAGACCGATCTAAGGCCAGGTCCACGTGCACGTGATTTCTTATCAGAAAGTGACCTCGCTGTCCCTGCTACTATCAGGATATCTGCACAGGTGATCGCCAAAGCTTGCAGCTGTCCTTAAACTGTCATACAGCTTTTACTATCGAAACGCTGTCAAAGAACGTATTTCAAATGCAAAAATAACAAGTCAGTCAATATTGGCAAAGCGACAATTTTTTTCTGAAGTTCAGTCTTGCGTATCGGGTTTCAGTCTCTTGCAAGAGAGAAAACCTGCAACAGTGGCTGGCAATATCTCTGGATGTCGACTTTATCTTGCGATCATCTTTGATTAATCAATATCCATCATCGTTCTTAAAACGCTCATGAAAACCATCATTTGACATTTTTGTTTTCATACAAAATTGTTTGAATGTATATTTATCGAACAGCTCATGAGAACTGTTGAAATAAAGACATTAAGACCATCAGAACTGTTGAAATAAAGAGTCAGATAAAACTATCAAAGCAAGTGAAATAAAGACACTAGTGAACAAATCAGGACGGGTGAAATAAAGACATGGGTAAAACCACCAGGGCGGGTGAAATAAAGACATGGGTAAAACCACCAGGGCGGGTGAAATAAAACCACCAGGGCAGGTGAACAGGTGAAATAATAAATGGATAAAACCACCAGGGACGGGTGAAATAAAGACATGGGTAAAACCACCAGGGCAGGTGAACAGGTGAAATAATAAATGGATAAAACCATCAGAACAGATGAAATAGAGACATGGGTAAAACCACCAGGGCGGGTGAAATAAAGACATGGGTAAAACCACCAGGGCGGGTGAAATAAAGACATGGGTAAAACCACCAGGGCGGGTGAAATAAAGACATGGGTAAAACCACCAGGGCGGGTGAAATAAAGACATGGGTAAAACCACCAGGGCGGGTGAAATAAAGACATGGGTAAAACCACAAGGGCGGGTGAAATAAAGACATGGGTAAAACCACCAGGGCGGGTGAAATAAAGACATGGGTAAAACCACAAGGGCGGGTGAAATAAAGACATGGGTAAAACCACCAGGGCGGGTGAACAGGTGAAATAATAAATGGATAAAACCATCAGAACAGATGAAATAGAGACATGGGTAAAACCACCAGGGCGGGTGAAATAAGACATGGGTAAAACCACCAGGGCGGGTGAAATAAAGACATGGGTAAAACCACAAGGGCGGGTGAAATAAAGACATGGGTAAAACCACCAGGGCGGGTGAACAGGTGAAATAATAAATGGATAAAACCATCAGAACAGATGAAATAGAGACATGAGTAAAACCATCAGAACATATGAAATAGAGACATGGGTAAAACCATCAGAACAGATGAAATAAAGACATGAGTAAAACCACCAGGGCGGGTGAACAGGTGAAATAATAAATGGATAAAACCACCAGAACAGATAAAACCATCAGAACAGATGAAATAGAGACATGGGTAAAATCATCAGAACAGATGAAATAGAGACATGGGTAAAATCATCAGCGTGAGCAATATTTAATTGGTTTAAATAGTGTCAATTAGAGTTATCCCTGTACTCCGCATTGTGAACACTTCAAACTCTCAAAATGTAACCAGAAAGGATACACCACTGAGCTGTATGATAAATTTGATTATTCTATCTCTAAAATGGGAAGTTTCAATTTTAGATAGGGACCTATCTGGTCCAACGCCCTTCATGGTGCTTGTTATGTCGCTATTAGTTCATTCTAGTTATTATTCCCGTTATCTCGATATCCGTAAAAATTGTCGATAAATCACAGCAAAATATATCGTCTCGAGATTTGTAAGATTTCTGCGTTGATCGTCCAGTGTATCCTTGTAGTAGCTGGTTGATGGTTAATAACACACTGTACATCATACGAGAGGTTGGTCGCACGCCATCAAGCGCAATTAGGTTAAAGTGTCTCGCCCGAAGACACATAAACACAGCTGTCACCATAGACCAGTCCGTTTCTCGGTTTTCCATGTAGAAACAAACCTTCACGGTTAGCAAATTAATGGTGTAGGCGGTACCGCAGGGGAATCGCGAGTCCGTTTTGGGGGAAGGGTAGGGATGCTGATCTCTTTCCAGGGAAGGGTGCAGAGTGTGTTGTTACATTTCGATCTTTTTGTTGTGTTTGCCTTTTAATAGAACCAAACATTTACACCACTGAACATTGGCAATGTCTGTGTATTTATTCCTGCAAGTGGTTCATGCTGAAGTCCCGTAATTTTCACAAGTCCGTAAACGTTTTGTCATTTCCCGTAGATCAAAGTGTTGTCGAATTATGCAAATACAGTTTAATTTACGGACATTTCTTATTAACTTTTACCACTTGTAACCATGGCATAAATTCCTTGTTTAAAAAAGTGAATACTAATAATATCGTAGTGTTACGTAGGGGGAGGGGAATATCTTAGAAAGTTTAAGTTACATTACAGGGAATCGCAATTGAGTTGAAAAAAAAATCTGCATATAATTTTGTTTTGTCACATGTGCTTATATAATCTGATTTCTAGAATACCAATAACCACAAATATATCAGAACAATTGTAAATTTGCTCATATGCCTTTAATGACGCAACTCCGTATTCAACCGGTACTTTGGTTTTCACTATTAGTAGTCCACTTCCGGCAACAACACAAAAATGGCGGACACAAACATAATCGCAAGTAATCGGCCCACACGTCTCAGAAGAGGTACACTTGTATCGCAGGAAGACAAACGGGTGCGCAAGCGAAGTAAGGACATGCTACGACACAAATCTCGTATATGTGTCGGTCAGCAGATAGGAAGATGGATGGCTGTTAAAGTCAGCATCGGACTGTCAAAAAATGAAGATGTTGCAAAAATGTTATTGGACAGGTAAGCTCTTAGTTTAAGCAAAGTAAAATCCTTGGGATCTGCAAAGATGCAGTGGAAATTCCAACAATCATTTTTTATCGTAATAACGGATGGATGTCAGGTGTCGAAATTTTATTTGTCTCCTGCAAATGTTTCATTTTGATGGATGGAAGTCTGGTAACTGAATTTTGTAGGAAAAGTTTGGCTGTCTAGTAAAATTTCCAGCCAAAGCCTTACCACTTTTTTCCCACTTGAAAATGTTGATTGACTGCTTTCTTTATCTTTTGTCATAATTGTCTAGAAAAAAGGACTATTAATTAATTAAATGTATGTGTTATTCCTCCATAAATTTCATAAGGAGGATAAACACAGAAATTCAGTACTAAAGTGCAGTTGTTTTTAATTACATTGTCTTTTCAGTTGGTGTTTGATAAATAGTTTTTTCGTGGATGACCATGGCAACTTTCCAGCGAAGGACAGTTCTCCGGAAATACAAACTAAGAAAACAGTATCTCCTCATCACCTACAACACCAAAAAGACGATTGGTAGGTGCCACATAACTCTGTTACTAAACCCCAAAATGGAAGGCACCATGAAGCAGAGAATCCTATATGGAATTTCTAAATTCAGATGTTTCTAACATTTGACATAACTTTGGATGTTCGTCAGGGGAGAGCAATTCATTATGTTCTGTTTTTTTTTTTTTTGAAATCCATGATAATATCACAATTTTTTTAGTTCAAAACTGGATAAACGATTTTTTTTTTACCTTTTCAAACATGATGCAGACAAAACATCATTTGTTGCAAAATGTTACTTACAGAATAGAAAATTTTTGTGTATCTCTTTAAAATAATCTCTTTTATAAGTAGCAAATTTATTACTCAAAGTAATATAAACATACTTGTCACTCAGATGCTGGATTAGTATATATGTAAGGAAGTTGATAAAGACCCATACCTGTAATTCCTCAACTCTTTGTTTAATTTCATTCAACCTTAGCAAAATCAAATAGTCAAACATAACTTTTTAGTGAACAACACCTATAATTTGACATATTAGCATAAGTGTTTCCAAAACCGTTACCATGGCAACACAATGTAGAAACCAGACCATTGCTTAAATACTTTTGATTTTGGTTCTCACTCAACAAAACTACCAATTTGTGTATTTCTTACAACAGTATTCATGTAGAAAATAGCTTGTTTGGTTTTTGTGGAGAAAAGGTTTGAATATTATCATATTGAAAAACATTGTAAATATTTGATATTTTAATGAGGTATTTGAGCAAACTAGGTTCTAACTTCCACTGATATCTGCCATTACACTTGTGCCATGTGTGTGATTTTCATATAGCTGAAAATGTTCATGACACATCTCTTAATACAACAATAACTTCAGTCATTGACAAGTATTCAGACAGCCAGAAAATATGTTTTGTATTTGAGCACTGGTTAGGCGAGTATATGGATTTTAAGGACGGCAGATACAAATTTGAAATATTAATGACCAAAAAACAGAGGAAAGACCAGAAAGGAAGGAAAAATATCCAATTTTTAAAGAACTTATAAAAATCAAACAATGGTGGATGCCAAGATCTGTCTGGAGTCACTTGTTTGACAAGGACTAGATGGATAGGATACGCTTGGTCTCTAAATGTGCCATTTTAATTTTTTTAACCTGTTGGGAAAAAACAAAATGCTGACAGGTGATCATCTTCGATTTTGACAATAAAAGTTGTTATCACTATTTCTCAAGAAGAACATGATGGATTTTTCTAAAATTTCATATACTGGTTCCCTTACATTCATAGTTGTGCCTTTTTTGATATTGGGATGAACAGAAAAACAAAATGGCTGACAGATGGCCATCTTAGATTTTGACATTGACAGATTGTTATTGATATTTCTTGGGAAGTAATGGATGGATCTTGCTCAGATTTTATATGTAGATTTCCCTTAAACCCTAGTGGCACCTTTTTGATTTTAGGACTGATTAGATAAACAAAATGGCTGGTAGCTGGAAAGCTGGAATTTTGACAATGAAAGTTTGTTTTTCTGTTTCTTGAAAAGTATTGGATGGATCTGTCTCAGATTTGGTATGTAGGTTCCTATTGATTCCTCTTGTCTGTTGAATTTTAGGACTCATCAGAAAAACAAATAGGCCAACATGCAATGCAAGTTAGAGGCAATCAACTTGGAAGATTTGAAAATTAAATATTTTTATCGCTTATTTTTGATAAAAATTTGATATAACTTAAAGCAAGAAAAAAAGAAGGAAATAATAGAAAAGAATGGAAAAGTTTCAACTTTTAAAGAACAAATAAAGTCCAAACAATCGTTTGAACCACAATCCCTCTGAGATCTCTTGTATGATATTGTTCATAAAGATTTGTTAGTGCTTTTAATGTTGTAAGTACTGGGATTTTTCAAGTCTATTTGAAGCTGATTATTTAAAGGGGACTGTCAGTAGATTACATTATCGAAGGGTAATTTTTCTTCCCTGTGGATTTATCATGTCACATCTGCAGATTTAATCATGGGTGTAAGTTATGAAACAGACTTTATTTTCTTTGTTTTATTTTTTTTCAAAATTTAATTCCATCCTGGATATATTAAAAAATGGAAACACTGGAAAGTGACAACGTTGACAGTGTAGTGATTGCTGAATTTACATATTTAAAGACAAATAAATATCTTGTTTTTTAGCACTAGGACGATGCCACCATTGTTGAAGGAGACATCACAAAACTTTGCTGATAACTGTCTAACTACAGAGAATGGGAAAGCCTCTAATCTAAGACCTGTAGATATAATCCAGCATAGAGACACAAACCAGCTAGGAGAAGTCTGCATCAGCGAGTCCAATGAGATGCTACAAAGTGTAGACGTTGATGAAGTGACCCCAAATATTAGTTTGACTTCTGAAGTAAAGGATATAAAGTGTGAACCTGAGCTATATATAGAAACAGAGAGGAAGAGAATGACTGATGGTGTTACATCTCCTAGTACAGATAATTACTTGACAAGTAGTGAAGAGGACACCAATGACTCTGATGTAGACAATGATGTGTGGGCTGTGAGTATAGCATCGGATAGTAAACAAGTCAAGCTTGATATTCCACAGGAAGTTGATAATGATGTGGAACTGGATCTGAGTTGTAGCGAGGAAGATGTAGAGCATGGTAATTTATCATCTCATCCAGGTCAGCAAGGTGATATCCATCAAAGCTCTGTCCAACAAAAGCAATCTACTCCCTTAAAGCGAAGAAAATTAAAAAAAAATTCAAACTCAAGAGCCAAAGTAAAAACTACTATAGCTACAAGGAAAAAGAATGCCCCTTGTCCTGGAGGAGGATATCGTCAGAGTAAGAGGTTGCAAAAGAAAGGGCGCCGATCCTATGTAGATGATCTGCAAGAGGCATTTGAAGTTGAGGCTGATGAGGACAAAGAGGTTTGTTTTTCTAGTTATCCTTTTTTAAAATCAGTTTATTTCAATTTGTAATGCTTGTCTGTATTATTCTGATGGTCTATGAAGGCTTATATGGGTGTAACGTCCATGAACCCTTATACGACGGTCGAAAGAACATCAGAATAACTGGTACCATTTCAATTCATGTACTGTAAAGTCTGTAACTTCCATGAGGGTTTAATTTTGATTGATTTTGTGGGTACTCTAAATCCTAAATTCATATATTTAATGTTGAAATAAGAAGTCAAAATTTGTAAAGCTATTTTTAACCAAAAGATGGTAATGCTTTGAAAATCCACAAAGATATATGATTTTGACTGTATTTGTATGAATACATGTACTTGTAAATACTCTGAATCAGTTAAATAACTGAATGATAAAGCCATCTTGTTTAATGTTGCTAATTAGCAATTCATATTAGTTTGAATGTTAACTTTCAAAACTGTAGATGAATGTCTACAAAATAAGTGTCATTACATCTTAAATGATGATAACCTTGTTGATTCTCGCTTTGTTATTTAATGTGTTACCTCAAAAACCAAGACGTTAACTTAAAGGATAATGTAATTACTGGAAGATGGCTGTAAGGCCTGAAATGTTAGTAAAACACATTGGTTTGTTGACTTAATCGTTCAGTGATTTATATATATATGTACATACATGTTTAATAGAGTTCTATGACATAATTTTCCAAAGGAAATTTCTGTGAGCAATTTTGAACCAATTAATTTTTGGAAGTTTTTTTAGATAAACTTAAGCAAGGATTTGTCTAGAGACTTTAATTAGGGTTGTTTATCTTTAAAGGTTAGAATGATTTTAAGGATATGTGTTGATATAAATGTTGTAGAGACAATCTGTTAGTGATCATGAGAACCTTCAGAGTGACCAGGTTACAGAAAGCCATGGAAACATCTCCAAGGGAGATTTCAGCAGCATGCATCCTAAGAAACGTCACACTGCCAGGTACTCTGAAGCAGAAATGAATGATTGTGTACCAGTTGTCCATCTGCAGACACAGCACATCTCCTCAGAGACTCTGACAAACAATAAACATGGTGAGAAGTCAAAGGTTAAAAAGAAGACAGGTGACACTGAGGTAAAAAGCCACCGATCTGATGTAGGGTATGAACAGCAAGGAATTGAGACATTTTCAGATAAAGACAATGTTAACTCAGATTATTTGGAAGAACCGGATCTAGATGATTCTGATTATGATCCAGCATTAGATGAAGAGGAACCACCTTCAAGGAAAAAACGAAAGTATACAAAACGTAAAAATGGGAAAAAGGATGAGACTGAAGATGGAAGTGAAAGTGTGGTAAAAGTGAGTAATGATGGAGAGAGTGACAAGAAGGCATCACAGAAAACTTTAAAGAAAACAAGAGCCAAGAGAAAAACACACGATAAGGGTGAAAAACTTAACTGTTTACCAGGTAGCAGGCGTTCAGATAAATACTTCCCAGATATTAATGTACAGTTGGAGGACCATGCAGATAAGTATGAAGTGATAACCTGGACAAGCCACTGCAAGAAAGATCGTGGGGTTGATGTTGAACAGAAATCGTTCCATGGGTATGGCTGTAAAATGTGTGGTGGTGTGTTTAAAACAACAGACAGGTCGGTGATGGAAGTGCACCTGAAGGAGCACATGCAGGGCAAGTTGACATGTGGCGAGTGTGGGCAGGTGTTCAGTTACTACACACAGCTGAGAAAGCATCGTCTCAAGTTACATGTGGAGGCCAAATACACATGTGAAGAGTGTGGTCAGCAGTTCCATTACATCAAAGTCCTTCACACACACCTTTCCAAAGTACATAACAAAAATGTGTACCAGTGTAAAAAGTGCCAGATGAACTTCCAATCTAATGCTGATCGAAAGGCACACAGTCTTGAGATGCATCCAGAGTGTTTTGAGAAATGTAAAGTTTGTGGGGAAACTGTCAACATGACATTGTGTAAAAATGCCATGGAGCGTCACATGCGCTCATACTGGTGTCAGCGCACTGCCAGTTCCATCTGTGAAATCTGTGGAAAGGAAGTTCAAAGACTGTCCATCAAGACACACATCCGTCGTGTTCATCACAAGACCAAAACACTTCGCTGTGATATCTGTGACTTTTCCACTCATCTTGGTTCCACATACAAACTCCACATGATGACACACACAGGTAAAACTCCTACTCCGTTTGTAGCTGTAAAATTTAAAGAGGTTTATAAGTTCCATTCATAAATCTGTTACTCAGAATATAAACAAAGATAAATACAATAAAAGGCCAGGTATGTCAGCTGTCCCAGGACTGGTTAGGATGGGGTCAGATTGGAATTGATCGAATAATTTGCTTCCAAATAGCATCTCCTTTCAAATTACTACACGCTTACAACTAAAGCCAAATTACAAAAGCATTTCAGGATAAACCTTTATGAAGAGAGATAAAAGGACTAATTTTGGGAAGTAGAGAGGATAGGGTTGAGGGGGTAAGGTGGGCTGCTAATGTGTATCCTTATATCCATAATGTAATGTGGTTGGATTTAGTGATGGATTTATGAATCTGATTAAGTGGAGCAATAGTTATACTCACATTACTGCAGGGCATGGTATTTTTCGTTGAATTAATAGCATGCTAATCACATCCCCTTCGGCTGGGGGTCATTCTAAACGAGGAGACTTACCTGAAGGTCAAATGGGGTAAAAAAAAAAGATCTCCCACTTGGCAGATTTTTAACTGGGTTGTAGAAAAACCTTTCAGGTGCTAAGTATCTTCTATATTGGAAGTGGAAGGACATCTTTGAAGTGGTTTATTTGCTTTAAAGTCACCTCTTCCTGAACTAATGGGCAAATGTTAACCAAAGTCATTAATGCCATGGTAGAATTACTTGCATTCAGTAAAGGAAGTTATGCTCAGATAATGATAAAAAACAGAAGTGGCTAGTATCCTCTAGAAATATACATACTAGTAAGATTTATTTCAAAATGTCGGAGCAATGTAAAGTCATTAAAAAAAATCACGTAGTTTAAGACTGATCTCTGAATAGACTTGTTTTAATTTTTGATTGATTAGTTGATCAACCTTTTATCACATACACAGTAACACTGCTGGTTTGATGTAAATATGATAATGATAGATATCTAAATAAAAGGACAGATTCTGTAAACAGTTTTTAATCTAAATGATACATGTATGTTTTTGTTTAGGAGAACATCCCGTGAAGTGCTCCCTGTGTGACTTCTCCTGTATCCGTAGTTACCAACTGACTTCACACATGAGGACACACACAGGAGACAAACCCTACAAGTGTGACCAGTGTAATTATGCATCTGCATGGAATGTCCAGCTAAAGGACCACAAGAAAGCACATTACAGTGACGATCGGGTCAACTGTGATGCCTGTAACATCATGTTCAAGGATAGACGTGGACTCAACATGCACATATCTAAAGAACATGCTAATACCTCAGTTGCTGATTCTTTTGTGGTGAAAAAAAATCCTGTTGACTCCAACAATTACATCAGCAGCGGTGCTGCAGTTGATACCAACTCTTACATAGCAAGGGGACATCAGAGTGATATAGGTGCTTACAGTGGCCTCAGAAATCTTAGTTCATCAAGATCAGATAATTACATTGTTCGTGGAAATCTGGATGTACAAAACACTTTTGTCAGCGGGAATTCTAGTGTTACAGATGCTTATATTGCTAGGGGAAACAACTTGTATTAATTCATTTGTGATATGCAATGATGCTAGATGCTATCTTTGCCCATTGTTAAGAGCTTGACACATGCAGACAGAATAAGGAACTCTGATAGTTTCATCTTTCGGTCATCTAAATGACACTGATTTTTTTTATTGGGTTTCGTTGTTCTGTTCAATTGGAGTGAAAAAGCTATGGAGCAAAATATATATATTTTTTGTTATAAATAGGATATATATGCAGTTGAAAACTGTATGTTTATGATTTAATATTTATTGATGTATTGATGTGTTACATTGTAATTGCTGTTGCATTTGATATCATTTACCTATTTAATTGAAAAAATTGTCATAGCCTTTTATTTAGATATAAGTGTGATTTTGAACTAATTTAAGCAACCTTTAAGGTTGAAGTTTAGTAGTTTTTTTTTTTTTTTTGGGGAGGGGATCACAGTTTGAGGGTTAAGATTTTCATTAAATGGCCAGTTGACCACAACAAAGCTTCTCAAATATATGGCACCACATGAATCTTACTTCAAGTTTGACATTTTCTTTTTTAGCCCTAAGGTATTGAAAGATAATTCATCTCTTCTTATGAAGACCAATCACTTTGTCATATCTATGCAATGTTTACATGACCTCATTGTATGGCTTTGTTGATTACAGTTGTTTGTTATGTATATCATTGGTAAACAACAACAACAACACAAGTGTAATCAACTGAATAGATTAAAAGGTAAGAAGGATCTCAAGTGTTGGGTCAGCATATCAGCTGTTTTTCCTGGTAAAAAAACCCTCCTGGTTGTTGAGAGAAAGCACTAAGTCACCTCTTACTTCTATTTTTATCTATCGTTTAACATGATTCTTGTATTCTACTTTGTCTGCAAGCAGAAGGTACATGAAAAATAATTGCCAATTCTGCAAGGCGTCCCTCATGTGGGACATAGCAAGTCTGTGATTTTGAACCTGCGGTGTTATTCCACCATATCATTGATACACTTCCATCAAATGATTCTAATGTCCGTGATTACCATGTAAAGATAACTGCAAGTTTCCTAGTCTTATTGTGGATGAATGGTTTTTGAATTCATTATAACACTCTGGGTTCCCATGGTAACCAGGTCACTATAATCAGATTTTTACGAAAAAACTGTTCGGACAACTCCCCCTAAACTTTTGGAGCAATTTCAATGAAACTTCAAAGGAATGTTGACCACCATGAGTAAATGTGCATGCAGGCTTTTTTTAAAGCATATATTTGGGTTGCCATGGTAACCAGGTCACTATACACAAGTTTTCGTATAAAGTGCTATAATTTTTTACCCTTTAATTGATTTTATTTAAAAGTGCTACAGCTAATTATGGTCTATAATTTGACATATGTATTCCAAAACCATTACCATAGAAACACTGTGGAGGCTTCTGATTGATATAAAAAGGTTTAGGGGGATGACAAATGCATTGCTACCATTTAGAAAAAAAATGTTCCATTTGGTTGCCATGGTGACCTCTTGGAGGAATCTTGTTGGGACAACCCTCCAAAACTATTTGGGAGCCTGGAAGGAGGGGTGGGGGTGTATTAGTTGGCCATTCTGCAGACAGTTCTAGTTAAAAATTTATCAATGTCCCTTGGATGAAATCCCCATTATATGGATCATTTGGAAAGTTTACATTATTAAAAACCATGGTCGGCTTAGAGAGTATTATTTCATAGGTATTTAGCATTAAGCTTAGCTGTAAGTATAAGAAAAACTTGTTGTGAATATCTATGGCTCACTGTGCTGTCTGAATAGGATGTAGTCGTGTAATCCTTGATCGTGAGCTGTCAAGGAAACATCTATAGGATTTCTCTAACTTCCAATCAGCAATTGTATACAGAGGCACATTTGATAATGATTGAATTTTAACCTTTTTCATCAATAGCAATGCACAATATTGTTTTGAGCATTTCTCAGATGTAGTGAAATTTGCATATATTGGGAATGATACAAAACTAGGATTATAGTGAATGAGTGATTTTAATATAAATGGTGTGAATTGTATTAGTGCAAGTGTACCCCGTAGAATGAATGGATGTCACTGTTACTAGCGAACGAATTGTTTTGTATTATTATTTTTTTTTTTTGTTAACTTTTTCAGTAGTGATACAGTTTGATTTTTCCCCCATTATGTGTAAAGGATAATATGATTGGTCGCTGATGTTGAAAGGTTTTGTTGACTATTTTACTTGTTTGTTTACTGTATATGACTGCTTTTACCACTGTAAAGGTCTCCTGCATTATGTCCATTGAAGAAGCAAGCAAATATGATCGGGAGACCCATTATTAAATGATGTTGACTGTTAATCAGGTTATAAACCCTGCCAACAAGTGTGCTGACATATTTTTCAATAAAATCAAAGAGAGATAAATGTACACGTATTAGATATAATGAAATGTTGCTTCTGTATGAGGTTCAGCTGCTTAGTTAATATATAAAAAAACATAATCAGAGATCTTCGTTATATATATGATGAAATAACTTCATTTGTACATACAGTAAATGTACAATAAATGTTCCTATGAAATTTTCAGTTTTTTTATCATTCACTTTTGATTTTAAGAATGCTGATGTTATACATGAAAAATTCATATCCCAGAGAAATTTAAATTGACAATGATTAAGAATATACAGGTACATGTACATCTAACAAAAACTACCAAATGACTACCTCGGTAGTTTCGACATTTCAGTTTATGTGTCAAAAATTTATCAGCTTTTTACTAAAGATTTTATGGTTGTAGTCACTTTTCATTTTCTGTTTGGTACATGTGAAAACTGGTATTTTTTCCCTAAAATATATTAATCCACGTACCTTTTTTATTTTTCTTACTTTACATGAATATCTTAAATCTGATTTTTAGAATTTTTTAGAGGATTGGCAAATCTGTGTATTATTTTTTTTTTTTTTTTTTGAACCTATAATTTCCATTGGTGTGAACATTTTATAGCTTTATAATTATTTTCTGTGGAAGAAAAAGTGGGATGTCACTAAAATTCCGTAATTTTAGAGAAAGAACCACTTCAAAGTATTAATACTATTTCTAAAACAATCAATTGACATATTTTTAATAAAGTAATGTTTTGCAACCAGTGGAGGACAGCATTTTAAATGGCTTTGTAGGAGTACATGTTCTTGACTTTGAGACATAACGATAGTTTGTGATTTACTAGTGCCATATACATGTATATCGTATTTTTATTTTTACCTGTATTTTTACTGTTTAAACTTTTTACTGAGCACTATTAAAGTTTAATATCTTTTGTTGTTTAATTGCTATTTTGTATTACATTGTTTGATAGTGATATACTTGTGTAAGATAAAGTTGACCTTATATACCACTGGTAAACTGGAGAAATCAACATTTATTATTTAGTATTTTTTGCCTTTCTGTTAGATTAGTCATTCAGATTTGTTGTCTTTCTAGTTTACTGGAATGCATGGTATCTATCATGAAAATATGAATTTAATAGATATTGATATTTTAAGTGGGTAAAAGACACTGCCCTTAGTCACTTACATTCCCACTGTACCTATCTTATATATGATAACAGTGTACATGACCTTCGTACATTTAGTTCATCCATATACTTAACCCATATTTAAATAAGTTTTCCACAGTTGATCTCTTTTTTTATACCTTTCTCATATGATCCTGGCTGTTGTGTGGAAGTTTATAACCCCATAAAAACCGTTCAAAAACTGTCCTGATGAGCTCATACCAAGGCTTATCATCATAACATATGGGGTAAATATTTTGAAAACAACTAGTAAAATTTGATATAATGTAAACATTGTTTGGTCATGAGGATTAAATTTTGTACAACTTTTTAGGTCACCTGGAACAAAGTCTCAGGATGATCTATCGCAATCCCCTTTTGTCTGGCATTGTCATTTTCGACTTATAGTGGAAAACTCCTGAACCGATTTCAATTTTACAAAAACCTTTCATGGCTAAGGACATACTAAAAATGTAGATTATATGGTCCTCAACCCCCACAGGTCTGTTGGGTGGGGCCAGCCACAAAGAGTCATATTGGTTGAAACTTCAATAATCTTCTTTCAAATCCCATGTATAGTAGAATCAAATACTCTTCATGGGTGGAAAGGCCTTCAGTTGCTTTACCAAAACTGTACATTTCATAACTGCAAAGTCTCATATTTCCCTCTGGGGAGGGGGTAAATTTAAAAGCTAGAGGGCTGCTGTGCGGGATCAAAAATGGGTCAAATTGACTGATATTTCTGAAATCTTTTTCTCAATATATAGATAAAGAAGAACCAAATACTTTCCATGGATGAAAGTGTCTCGCAGTGCTTTACCAAAATTTGTGAGTTTCATGACCCTATGGGTCTTACAATTTCCTCTCGGGGAGGGGGTAAAATTTACTGGAGTTTATATCGGAAAATTACATTTTTTAGGATAATTGGTTTGTTTTCTTACAGAAATAGTTCAAGCTTGGTTAGAATTATCAGTTTAAGATGACAGTTTAATGAGAGGCATATATTGACCCCCCCAAAATATTTTTTCTCAATACCCAAATAAAGCAGAATCAAATACTTTCTGTAGATAGAAGCATCTTAAGGTGCTTTAACAAAATGGTGAATTTAATGGCCCACAGGGTGTCTCATTTCCCTGTGGGGAGGGGGTAAAGTTTATTATAGTTTATATGGGAAAAAGATATTTTTGAGCATAATTTGTTTAATTTCCATTGGAAACATTTCAAACTTGGATAGAATTATGATCAAGGGATGACGGCTTGATGGTATGCCAATATTTATCCTGGATGACCTTCAGGGGCTGATGGATGGGATATATATGTTTACTTTGGGTTTTCATTATTGCCCACTACTTAACCCATGACTGTTAAATTAAGCTGTAATAAATATTTAAATTGTTGGTAGAAATATGTTACTTGACCATAAGTTTTGAACAAGTACAGACACAAAATTGTGTGTTAATGTATGAGATGGTGTACTATAAAAGATACAAATGCATTTGATATTGTTTTAACCATCAACAGTAGTGGTGCTTTCTGTTGATAAAATGTTTTAAATGTATTCCAATTTTTGTCTTTCATATGGTTAAAAATAATGAACAAAGAATATGTTATTGATCAGATAAGTTTTGTAAACTTTTTATCTTGATATGTGACATCAATTTTCCAAAACTAGTGTTACAAGTGTTGTTGACAAACATTGAAGCCTATTTTCCAGGTTATAAGTCATACTGTTATATAGGCCCTAGAGCCAGTTTTTATCAATTTCTTTGATGTGATCCATACAATAGTAAAGTCTTTGTGTGCCATATTCTAAACTTACTTCTTTCGTTGCTTTATTATTGATGTTTGTTGATGTTTATGTACAGAGTAATCTGCCCTTTGATACAACCCAGTATAACTGGTTATGTTGGTTGTTTAGTGCTTCAGTATACAGGAAATGTATAATCATTAAATGTCGGACTGTTTTTTGTTTTGAATATCTTTTCACTGACGTTTAGTTATTATCTCCAATTCTGTTGAATAAAACAGTACTTTAAAAGTTTAAAACATCTTTTTATATAGTTGTCTTAACCTGTCTCTATATTAAGTGTTTCATGGCTGGTTTAGAAACAATAAAGTATTTACAAACAAGTTTGCATTCTTTTTATCTCTTACACATGAAATATACCCTTCAAATAAGGGAATGATGTTGGCTTCCTTTGTTTCTTCACAAAAAAAGTGTATATTATAGCAAGTTCTGTGCTTAAAAGGAAATAAAAAATTATTTCTAAAATTAAATTTTACACCATTAGCAATAATGGTCCATTCTGCAGTATATTTTTATGATGATGGTTGTCTTTTCAAATCAGATCTTGTCTGGTCTCCTGTTGACATATTATGTATGTAGGTCTGCCTTAGTATCTAGTGGTGACTGCTCCATAATGAGACTGATCAGACAAAAACCAAATGGCTGGCTCTGTTTTGTGAGACGTAGTAGATAAATTGATTTTAGATTTACACTATTAATCAAATTATCTATTATTTATTATCAGATAAACACTATTAACTGGGGTGATATTTCTCAAATTTCATTTGTAGGATTCCTTTTAGCTAGGTCCCTACTATGGGTCAATATAACTATATTAGCATATCGAGATATATTTTCAGGTTATATAATATCCTTGAAATATACATCACTATCACTTTTAGGAAAAGGATGTTGGCACACACCATTAAGTGATGTCTATTGGTTCAATGCATATTTTCTCAACTTTTCCCTTCTTTCCCCTTTTTCTTCTTTGATGATAATGGAATCCTACAAAGGAGATATAAAAAAGACCTAGTAGGAACTTAGACACCAAATATCTGAGTGATAATTGACACTTCAACTATCAATATCCAAGATGGCTGCCTGATGGTCATTTTTTTTTCACTGATCAGTCTCAAAATTTAATGGACACAACTAGGAATCGACGTGAAGCAATACCTCAAGTTTCAGAAATTTTCTTCCTGTTTTTCAAGAAATGGCAATAGAAAACTTTATATGTCAAAATCCAAAAGTCTGCTATTTTTGTTTGTTTTCTTATCAGTCTCAAAATTTGACAGGCACAACTACGGACAAAGGGACACCTATACATTCTTCAAGTTGGTCATTTTATTTGCCTGATCATACTTGATATTGGATTAGCACAACTAGAACCACATTGAATTTACGTGAAGTTTAAGATATAGCCTTCCAGTTCCAGTTAGGAAAAAGCAATAACAACTGATTCTTTGTGAACGGATGACAGACGAGTAAAAGGGGAAGATTTGAATAACCCACTATCTGATGTTCATATAAATGAACTTTTAAGTTCCCTTGTGGAGTCACATTGAAGGTTAAAAGATCAGGGATACAACTTCTATGGTCTTGGAATAACATTTTTGGTTTACAGTGAATTGGGTCATGCCTAATGTAAATGACAAGCACCTCTGCAGATTCTGGCTTAAGTACTATCAATGCCATGCACTTCAAATGCAGCTGACTCAAAAGTACTTTATTCTCTGTAATTCAACAAAATATTTGCTTCAAAAACTTCACAACTTAAATTAAGATTTTTAAAAGTTCTTAAAGCTAAGGACGAGAACATCAGTTTTACTGTTGATATATATCATGAAACAAAAATGTAAGACTTACCTGTACATTTTGATAGTTTTTATAGTCAAACAATAGTATACAAATAATATAAAACTCTGTTTTAAGGATGTTGTTACCTAAGATCAACAGCAAGTCTAAATGTAGCCTTTTTCAAAGTGAAAGATGTTTCATTTTAATTGAAAGCCTTAATATTCTTGAGAGAAATATCAGCATGCCACCTTGCTCATTATTTACCAAGCTGTGGTGCCAATTTTAAGTGAGGGCATGTACATCTCTACCTTATATTCTATATTTTAGAAGGTAACGTGTGGTTAATTATGTTTAATAATGTACCCAGTATCCGATATCTGATACATTTAAAAAAAATAAGCTGCCTTTTTTTGCCAAAACAGCTGGTATCTTCGGATATCTACGTATTTCATTTTCATATCAGATGCATGTAAATACATTAAGCACATGCATTTACATAAAAATGTGATATTCATTTTATGAATCGAAATAATGAGTATTTAATTTATTCTTCTGCTCGGCTCGTCGTAATTAAGTACCCAAATTTTACAATGGAACAATAGTGAAATATAAAAAGAACATAAATGTCTTAAAATTTTCTACGCTAATGCTGAGCATCGAACCACGAAATTTACAAATCTCGTGCGCATGCGCAATATACTCCAGTGCACGTGTGTGGCTTATGTTTGTGTAGCACGAGATGATCATGATTGCATCTAAGTGATTGAATGCACTTCAAAAGTCACACAACTTACTTATAGCACCGATAAAACTCCACGTTTTACAAAGTACAACTTAAGATGCCAGCCGCAGGACTAGATTTTCAACCGTGCAAACGATCTCCAACAATAACAGAGCTGGAGGAAAATGAAAGGCGACAAGGCCGGAGGTCAGCTCGAATCAACATCGGCAACCAGATGGACAGATGGATGGCCCTGAAGTGCGGTTTAGGACTGTGGAAAAATGAGGAAGTGGCTAAAATGCTCCTTGACAGGTTTTATATTATATTTAATGCGTTATGGTTTAATTGACGCAGACACTTGTGATGTACAGCACGTGTACAAAACACATGTCTCATCCAAATTCAAGTAATACGTGTAGCTAGCTGCGTATTTTGTACAGATAAACGTCGGGGTCAGACGTTATGTTATTAAAAACTAAATTAGCAGTAATAATAAATAAAACGTGTTTGTTATATAATATTCCGGACTGCTATTTAATAGAGTTTATTTCACTCCGACTTTAAATATATTAAAGGTCTGTGATTTTAACACCCGATTACTGTGACACTTGCATGTAATTTTCTGTCGATAGCGTCATGTGCAAACTTCGATACTAGTTCTCATTTACATGCAACTATCTTACTGGTTGTTTCCCTTCAGTTCTGTGGTTGAACTTTTTTATATGGTGTTCACACGTATGGTGTGCACAATAACATTCGTTGGTAGCCGGAATGGTAGGAATTGTGAGCAATGTATCAGTCTTAAATGGTTTTGAAATGCCTTGATGATATCACAATTGTTCCAGATCGATTGAAATCGAAAAACTAATACGTTTCTTAGAGTGATAAGATCTAGTAATTGAAAGCTCGCGATCAACACAGAGTTGTCTTTCTTTACACATAAACTTGGCCTGCCATTCAGCTGATTGATCATAGCTCTAAACTGAACTACTTCAACAAATTGGTTTGTTTTGTGAAATCTATGGTTTGATAAAGTAATCATGTGAGATTATGTTATATGCATTGTTTTAACATTTCAGCTGGTCCACCGTCACTGGTATATGTCTGGATGATGGTACAGAGGATGCTTCATCAGAAACAGATGTTAAGAAACGGACGTCAACAGATCATGTAAAAGATGAAATGGACAGGTGAATATTTCCATATTGATGCCATAACTTTAAATAGGATTAATATTAACACTACATATTGAAGATAACTTTTTACTTTTGTTGCAGATATATTTTATGTAGTTATGCAATGTCTACAATGTTTTCAAAGGGAGTATTATCTTATTTTACTACTTTACTGTTAAGACTTGTATAATCAGTTCATATGTCTGAAACCTCTGCATTTAAAAGAATACATTATATACATGTAAATTTTTGCTTTTTGTTTTTCTGATTTTTTTTATGAAGGCCTCAACTTGATACCGAATACGATGAAGACCTGCCTATCTTGGAAAGACAATTAGAAGACTGGGAAATATGTCTTGGTGTGAAAACACCATCCCATAATGTCACTCCAGTATCAAGTGCATTAAAACCAGAGGCAGAACAACAAAAGTAAGATTCATGAATAATGAGTAGCCAGTATATTAGTATTCCACACTATAAACTTTAAATTCTAATGGTCTTATCAAAATTGTGAAATGTGAAGGCATCTGGTCATTTTTGTCACAACCCCTCCACTTCTGTATGGGAGTTTGAGGTTTTTGTAGGGCAGTCACCAGATATTGCAGGTTCCATGCCAGCAGTTGCCAATGTCAAATTTTGTTTAAAAAAATTAATTGGCTACAACATATTAAGTTTAATGACAAAAAAAGTCACTCATAATTTTGTAAAATCTTATTGAAAGTGATCAAGCCAGTAGTTCATTCATTTATGTAATACAGGTAAAACTGGTCATCAGATTGTCTTCTCCAGGTGAAATCGCTGCCCATTTATAATATTTGTATAAGTGTCATGTCCAACCACTTATCCCCTCAGACTGGTGGGTTCAGGATGTATGGTGTGTAGCAATTGCAGTTTAAGGAAGAAATACAACAACACTTTCTAGAAAAGTTCACATTACCTATGCCGTCATTTAATAGATATTTTTCCTCTATCTAAACCAAAATCATAGTGACTAACTAATAGAAAGATAGGAAATGGGACTAGTTATATAATACTCAAACAGATCAAAATGCAGGAATTATTTTTGCCTTCTTTTTTTAATAGCTGTAGTAAACCAAATTTATTCCACAAAATGTAGAAAAAAGATATGATAAGGAAAAGTAATAAATCCAATCTAATATTTTGTACAGAAAATATTTAACTTTATTGATTTTTTTTGTATTTCAGTAAGAGCATAAATATACCATGAATGTTATACAGTATTTAAAAGTCTAACTTTTATATATTTTTAAAGAAGTATTGAAATCAATTTTGCAATTTATATATACTAGGATATTAATTTTTAATAGAAAGATACAAATAAATTTCTGTGTTTTTCTTGTTTCCTTACATAGTTTAATCACAATATTGCAGTCCTTATTCACATCAAAGACATATTCTGAGGTTAAGACAAAGTTTACTTGTTCCTAAACCTCTTTCGTGAAAATTTAGTCCAGAAAAACACTTGTTCAAAGATATGACTAGAGACCTTTCTGCAATATTTGCATGCACAGACTTTTGTGTTTTTCTTTATGTATATTCAAGTTATCAGTGTTTGTTTGTCATTCATCCATGTATATTTAATTGAGTACAGAAAATACATGTACACTACAATTAATTAATTATTGACTTTTTCTCATTAATAGGTCATCATTTTTAAATGATCAAACCCAGACTTTACAGCATACTCAAGGTTCTCAACAAAAAGTAATATTACCACTGGTGAAAAATCTAGCTGAAGTACACAGCTGTCATCAAACATCTTTGAACTTGAAGCATCCAAGATTGACAAAACCAGATGCAATACCAGGCCAACAGGGCACACCCAGACATCTGATATTTTTTCCTGGAACGGGAGGTAAGCCGTTGTTGGTCCTTCCTGATATACAGTACACATCTGTGGCTTCAGGAATAAGTACTACTTCACTTACTGTGAGTAGAAGTGAATCAAAAACTTCATCATTGTCAAATGATAATAATGTAGTTACAACAACCTCTTCAAGTAACACTTTACCCTTGATGAGCACCGACAATGCTATGCAGCATTCAAACTTTGGACATGTGACACATTCAGATTGCAATACAATGGGAATAAGATGTGAAGATATTAAACAAGAACCTGTATCAGAAGAAAAACATTATAATAATGTAAACTTAGATAATGAAATTAAGATGGAGACTGAGTATCAAATGTTTACAAGTAAACAAAGAAACACACAGGTTGTGATCCAGGCACTCCCTGGTAACCATAGTAACACACAGGCTGTGAACCAGGTACTCACTGGTAACCATAGTAACCCACAGACAGTGAATCACGTAATCTGTACTGGCCATGTTAACCAACAGTCTGAAAGTCCAGTGTTGGTGAGACGTGACTATGGTAATGGAGATGCTAATGATATTGTTTTAAACATGTATTGTAGTAGTGATGATGACTTTGAAGAAGGCAATGAAAATCCTACCACTCAATTATCAGCAGATTTAAACAAAAAGACAAGTCAAACTAAAAGTAAACGCTTTACCACACTGAAAAGTCGACCTACAAAGAAACACAAAGCACGCTCGTCTGGTGACACTGGTAGCACTGTCATGTGCCCCTATCCTAAAAAAGGACACCGAGAATCTGAGGACACGGGCAACTGTTACCGCAGTGAGAGACTAAGGAAGAAAGGGCGAATATCGTTCATTGAACTGATGAAAGGAAATGTTGTTTTTGAGAAAGACAAAACTGGAAACATTTATGCCAAAGAGGTATGTGTATGAAAGTATGAAAATCAACAACAGAACAACTGTTTATTGAACAAAATTCTGGTTGAACATAAGCAATAAATATTTTATATAGTTTATGTAAAAGTAATGTTATTCACAGAGGCGTATTGCATTAGTTGTATTGCTGTAGTTAGTACTGCATGCTAACATCAAAATGTTGCTTGGTAGGTATACTGCTGTGAGCCTATAGCTATGGGATAACATGGCATCTATTCTTCATGGGTAACTGGGCTACATAAATGAGATGATGGCTATTAGTCCATAGACATTTTCTTTGAACAAAAATGTGCCATCAAAAAATTACTAGGCCTGTTATATGACTGAATTTAATTGTAGGAAAATATTTTCACTCGTGTATCTTTAGTGCAATCTCTTTGTGATTTTGATTCAGATTGTGTCTGAAAACCTCTGGCTATCAGACCTGTAAATTTTTTTTATGTTTGGGTACTTAAAAACTGTGCAATACTGCAATACTTAATGTTTGCTGTTTTTGTCCTCTGTCATCAGGTGTTGAGCTATTTATATTGGTCTGCATCCATGGTCCATCAGTCCGTCATATTTCATATATATCTGTATGATCAATGAAGTAATAACAACAGTACAGACAAGTGAATTGTCAAATTAAGGCAATCTGCCCATTTTATCAAGACACAAATATTACCTAAATTACATCACATTCATAGACCATAAAACAGATACAAAGTTGTAATCTAAATTGAAGAATGATGTTGTTCTATAACTTTGTATTTTATTGATTTTAGTTTATAATTTTGTCGTTGTTACTTCATTGATCATATATCTATCCCAGTAATATGCATCCAACGTACATTTGTTTGTTAGGATCCAGTACCAGTATTGGAACATACCATTGATATTACTTACTAGATTGTATAATTATATTTACATACACATTCCACTTGGACCCTACTTTCACCTTTTTAATATTGAGTCGGAACAGAAAAACAAAATGGGCAACAGGTGGCCAACGGCGATTTTGACCATGAAAGATTGTTATAGCTATTTCTGGAGAGGTTATGGATTCATCTTCAATTTTTAATATGTAGGCTTCACATGATTCCTGGTGACATCCTTTTGTTTTGGATCAGATCAGAAAAACAAAATGGCTGACAAACAGCTATCTTGGATTTGTTGATGAAAGTTTTTCTATAGCTATTTCTTACTTACTTTATTACTTGCATATCCAGCATTCCTCAACTATTGATATGATTCCATGGAGTTTGACTGATGGGGGTTTAACTGTATCCTTTTCAATTTCATATGTAGGTACTGTTGGTCTGTAGTGATGCCCTTTTGATGTGTAGAAAGATTAGAAAAGTAATGCAACTGACAAAGCATGTGGTGATTCTAGATTTGTCTCGAAAGATTGTTATCACTATTTCTTGAGAATTACTAAATGAATCTTTGTCAGATTTCATTTAAAGGCTCACCTTGGTCCCAAGTTGTGCGAGTTTGATTTTGTGACTGAACACTAACACTAAATGACCATTATGTGGCCATCTTATATAATTTTGATTACTGAAGTTTTTTTTTTCATTTCTTTAGAAGTATATGTAGTAAAGGGAATTTTCTGAAATTTGATTTTTAAGTCACTTGGTGTTATGTGTTGCTTTGTCAATTTTGGAATTTATAAACGTATGTCAGACAGGCAACCATCTTGGATTTGGCATTTAAAGATCATTATTCCTAGATGAAGGGAAAAGAAAAAAGAGAGGTCCCATCTTATGAAGAGCCCATGAAGATTTATACAATGATGGGCACTGAAAGATCCTTTTTTTTATCGTTCAAAATTTTACAGTTACTAAAAGCTTGTGTCCTCAAAAAGAAGTAAAAATAGAATCACATGAAAAATAACACCAGTTCATAATCAAAATGGCTAAGTTTTCGATGATGTAAAGATGTAGACAGACAACATTTTAACTAGAGACTGGTTAATGTTGGTGCATGTAAAGTGACAGTGTTTACTATAAATACTTAGCCAATTTCTACTCTTATACTGAAAACCAAACTTAGTTATAATGTTTGACAATAAAATATTGTAAAATTAATACTTTTAACAGTTCAAAAATTATTTCTGAATGAATAATTGATTGAATATTATATCATATTTGTTCTCTACAATTTTAATTTGCTTGTTTTCAGAGAGAAGCTTGTAATGAAACTGAATCCAATGGAAAAATTGAGAATTCTAACGATAGACAGGATATTGTTGGTAGTAGGAAGAAGTCTGCACTTACTTATGATGACTACAGAAACCATTCCGACAGTAACGATGATGAACACAGGGAAAGTGACAGTCCAAATGCCCTCTCTGAAACAAATTCTGACTGAAGATTGGAGGACAAAGCACAGTTTTTGACCGACATGTTTCAATCTTTATACAACTTGGCTTATACACCCACATGCAAAAATGTACATGAAGTTCAGATGAAGCATGAACAAATGTACATCTAAGCTTATTGGTGACGATCCTTTCCAGACTCTAACGAAGAAAGTTGAAATGTCACAGTAGATACAGGATGCGAGATAACCATCTGAGGTCTGAACATTGTCCTATTAATGCTGTAAAGTTCCTGTTTGAGGAAGAAAGGTGTGTTCAGAATGAGTAAAAGAAAGCATTGTAGAGGATTAAACTCCCCTTTTGTGAACTATACCTGAGTTTGTTGCTTGGGAAATACATCTGTTGGAATCTGGATTATGTTAAAGGTGAAGGTACCGATGTAAACTTCGTAGGGATAGATCATGAAGTTTGATTTCAACATTGTATACGATATACTCTATCACCTCAGATAGGGATGGTCATGTTAATTGACCACACTTGGGTAGAAGTAGCAGACACTTGGAGATGTTCAGAACCACAGCACAAGATGGTGGTATCACTACCACCAAAGTTCCCTCCTTGAATTAAAGACGGGCATGTTACCATGGATAAGAGGCCAGGCTATACAGGTAAAGATTCTGTAGGTGGCATGATTTTTTTTAATCAGATTTGAATATCTCGTGCATCAAGTGGCTGTGAATTGTTTAAATATGGTACAACTGAATTTAATGCAAGTGACTAGACAAAAAATGGTAGACAAGGACTACAGTGAAATGGGTAAAGATAGATAGTTTGCTGCCAAAACTCAATAATCTATACACAGCATGTGATGTTTGAGTTGCCAGGAAGTAAACAAATTACTTGCCTCGTACATTAGAATATGTCTGCTGTAGGTATCAAAGTAAGATTAATTTGATGTGCTTTGTCTTTTAAATTACAATTTATGTTTTAATGCCTCTGTCATGAAATGTTGATTTAAATAGTCTGTGATAGTCTTGATATTTCTCTATTGTGCCTTTAATGCTTAATTCAGAATAAACATTCATAATTTTTTAGCAACATGATGTACATTAAGGATTTAAATCTGTCTAATCAACAAGGTGTTGCACAAGGAACCTTCAATTTTGCCATTACATGTATATTTTCCAGGAGTGCAGAGCGTGGTAGTGAACATAGCCCTGGAGTATCCAGGATTTTGTTACTTTAATATTTATAATAATGTCGGTTGCAAGTGATATTCAATCGTGTGTAAATTCTAGGTATGAGATATTTTTAGCTTGGAGTTACTAAAAGTGAAAATATTAATGCCACAGAAAATGCTTATTTTTACTTGCCATGAATATAGAATGCTTAGTCAGCCAGTTATGTAATCAATACACTACATCAAAAAGCCTTCTGAATTCTCTACCACTGTTGGTTTGTCTGAAATCTCTACCACTGTTGGTTTGTCTGAAATCGCTACCACTGTTGGTTTGTCTGAAATCGCTACCACTGTTGGTTTGTCTGAAATCACTACCACTGTTGGTTTGTCTGAAATCTCTACCACTGTTGGTTTGTCTGAAATCGCTACCACTGTTGGTTTGTCTGGTCTGAAATCTCTACCACTGTTGGTTTGTCTGGTCTGAAATCGCTACCACTGTTGGTTTGTCTGGTCTGAAATCTCTACCACTGTTGGTTTGTCTGAAATCGCTACCACTGTTGGTTTGTCTGAAATCGCTACCACTGTTGGTTTGTCTGAAATCGCTACCACTGTTGGTTTGTCTGAAATCTCTACCACTGTTGGTTTGTCTGAAATCGCTACCACTGTTGGTTTGTCTGAAATCGCTACCACTGTTGGTTTGTCTGGTCTGAAATCTCTACCACTGTTGGTTTGTCTGAAATCGCTACCACTGTTGGTTTGTCTGAAATCGCTACCACTGTTGGTTTGTCTGGTCTGAATTCTCTACCACTGTTGGTCTGTCTGAAATCGCTACCACTGTTCTTTTGTCTGGTCTGAAATCTCTACCACGGTTGGTTTGTCTGAAATCGCTACCCTGGTTGGTTTGTTTAAAATTTCTACCACTGTTTGTTTGACTGAAATCGCTACCACTGTTGGTTTGTCTGAAATCTCTACCACTGTTGGTTTTTCTAAAATTGCTATCACTATTGGTTTGTCTAAAATTGCGGTCATGGTTGGTTTGTCTGAAATCTCTACCACTGTTGGTTTGTCTAAAATTGCTATCTCTGTTGGTTTGTCTGAAATTTCTACTACTGTTGGTTTGACTGAAATTGCTACCACTATTGGTTTGTCTAAAATTGCTGTCACGGTTGGTTTGTCTGAAATTTCTACCACTGTTGGTTTGACTGAAATTTCTACTACTGTTGGTTTGACTGAAATTGCTACAACTGTTGGTTTGTCTAAAATTGCTATCACTGTTGGTTTGTCTGAAATCTCTACCACTGTTGGTTTGACTGAAATTTCTACATCTGTTGGTTTGACTGAAATTGCTACCACTGTTGGTTTGTCTGAAATCTCTACCACTGTTGGTTTGACTGAAATTGCTATCACTGTTGGTTTGTCTGAAATCTCTACCACTGTTGGTTTGACTGAAATTGCTACCACTGTTGGTTGACTGAAATCTCTACCACTGTTGGTTTGTCTAAAATTGCTATCACTGTTGGTTTGTCTGAAATCTCTACCACTGTTGGTTTGACTGAAATTTCTACCTCTGTTGGTTTGACTGAAATTGCTACCACTGTTGGTTTGTCTGAAATCTCTACCACTGTTGGTTTGACTGAAATTGCTATCACTGTTGGTTTGTCTGAAATCTCTACCACTGTTGGTTTGACTGAAATTGCTACCACTGTTGGTTGACTGAAATCTCTGCCACTGTTGGTTTGACTGAAATCGCTACCACTGTTGGTTGACTGAAATTGCTACCACTGTTGGTTTGTCTAAAATTTCTACCACTGTTGGTTTGTCAAAAATTGCTACCACTGTTGGTTGACTGAAATTGCTACCACTGTTAGTTGACTGAAATTGCTACCACTGTTGGTTTGACTGAAATTTCTACCACGGTTGGTTTGAATGAAATTAACTGTACAATTTTAACCAGTAATTGATTATGGATTTCAAGTGATTTGTTTCATAATAATTGATCACTGACTGGCGGATTTAGTAAAAACACACAGTCTCTTAGATAGTAAATGATGTTCAAATAGATTTTGATTGTGTTTGCTGAGTGATGTTTTTGAAGTTTGGATAGTTAACACAACTGTATGCCTGATGATTCAGTTGTTGTTCAAATGTTTCTCATTTGGGAATGTTTCATCACTGGCCTTGGATTGACTAAGATATACACAGCAGACTTCATCGATTGTGTAAAGGATGCTTTACCTTGCCTTCCAAAACACATGGTCTTATTCCTGTACTCCTTTAAAGTTCTCAATGTAAATATCATTTTTGTTTATATTTTACCTTACTTTCATTGAAAATGAGTTTGAATTGAACTTTTTCTTGACATGTTGGAATTTGAATTGAGATTTTGTTGATGTGTTGGTATTTTGTTGACATGTCAGTGTTTTAAATGTGATAACTGTACAATATATGCTTCTATTGTTTTTAGGTACGTCTTTACATGCTGCATCAATAGTTATCAGATGACTTTGTGAAGAGACTGATGTGAACATACAATCCAATGATATGTGGATATGTGGTAGATATCAACAAAATGGAGAACTAAAGACTCTAACTCAAAAAACTGGTCTGGAATGGGATCAAGATACAATCACATTGAAAATAGAAACTAAAAATGATTTCTCCAGCATAAACAGCTTGAAACAAAATAGAGTGGTCTGGAATCGGATCAAATCACATTGAAAATAGAACCTAAAAAATATTTCTCCAGTGTAAACAGCTTGAAACAAAATAGTAATGGATATGACATCAACCACTAGCTTGTTTACCATGCATACAAAGTAACTGTCAGTGTTACAGTTGTACAAGAGCACTTCCAATAGACATTTGCTGACCGTTTATAGGAGGACAGATGGAAAATAGCAATAGATATATGGTATTGTGACAGATGGACATGCTATTTCGAATCAGTGTTGGCATTAGACATACATAGTGCCCTCCTAAATATGAAGTGATTGTGGTATGTGAATACCATAAGTGAAAATGATAAGGAAAAGATCAGAAATTAGCATGCAACGAATTGATCGTCAGTCCTTGATCAAATTGTAAGGAAAGATAAGGAGTTAACATTGAAAGGTCTGTAGTGTCCTTGATTTCAAGGTTAGGGAAGTGTTGACTATTCATGTCCTGATAAGCTCCATGATAATTCAGTTTAATAGTTGAAATCAGAAAGTTGACGAAGAAAGAAACACCGTTTGTTCCCAAGAAACCAAGAATTATGAGGATGATCGGCTGTTAGGAAGGCATGTATAGGGAAACATGTACATTGATGAATTGACCAGCCAAAGATACAATGAATAAAATAAGAAAATTTATATGGACAATAATATTTTTTATTTCTATAATCCAGAAACATGAACAATATCTTTAAATATATGAAGATTATATGATATATACCACAAAATATTTGTAGTAGATAAAATTGCATTGAATGATTATTTCAACCTGATGGAGTGTAGCAGATCCAGCTCTAAAGTAATCGTAATAGTGTTAATCAGTACAAAATTCATTATTTTTAAAAATCTTTTTAAATGCACACATGTATACACCTATTTTCGTTTGCGCTTAAATAAGACTTTCTCTAATCCTCTCATTGGAGCCTCGAACACTAGCGATGTTAGAAACGCAAGCATGTATGAAGATACCAGTGTGCCCAGGAAGATGTAAATCTGCAACAGCAAAAACACCCGTTTGACTATTTTATTGCTTTTAACGTAAATCATTAATTTAATTAATTCATTCATTTTGATTTTAATTTATGATTTTAAAATTAAATTTAAATTTAAGTCATTGATGTTTTTAATTGATTATGTACGTGTACCAATGCACCTTTTATCAAAGAAGCAATGTTAGGTAAATCAGATGTTATTTTGAAGTATCAGCCTTCCATTAATCTGCTGCCCGATTACAAATGTATGTGCCATTTCTTGCAGTTTCCTACAAAAAGGGACATTTCTGCAAAGAAGAGACATGTTCATTTTCATTTCGACTTCCTAGATCGTTAATATATTTTTTCTCCATAGCAATTCCGTTTTCCCCTTGTGGTTTTGTATGTCATTTTTTATCCTTACCAGCGTGTAGTTAGTGACGTAAATGGTTTGTCGCATGGTCGCAGTGAAGTAGTATAACAATATGGGGTGTACTAGGTACACACAATAGGTCAGGCGTCCTAGCGGTTCGAAGGCCTTCCACGACAGAACCGTGTTTATAAATCCTGTTTTAAACAAATGACATTATGACCAACGTACCAATATAACTTGCTTTTCTAAACTTTTCATAAACCTAAACACAATTGTGAAATACTTGTATTCTTGTTATCCAGATATTTATTATCCATCGAGGAAAGGAATTCATTTTTCTTGATCTGTTTATTGTAATTGCCTTTTTATGCCTCATAATAAACAACGTTTGTAAATTTATAAATAAAGAAGAAGGCGATACCTCCGTGACCGGTGACACAAGCAAACACAACCCAGGACACGCATAAGCTCCACATCGTCCGATGAGTGGCGTTATAGAGGGCTGCAATACTATTGTCCCAGGGTACACCATTCATGGGTCCATATACACCGTACGTTACCACGATGCCTAGCAACGTCATCAGGAACCATGTTAACGTGTTCAAGCCCTAGGACAAAAAGGACAAACAATACAATCTTATACCACGATAATGAGATGACAAACATTCACGTTGTCCTTTAACGTAACCTTGATTTGATCTTAATCACATGCTCTCTACCATTATAAGCTTCCTTTTATGATATTTTCAACTTTTCAAGATCACCCCATGTGACGCCATTAGAGCGTACGACGTGAATGGTTGTTTAATTACTTTTTGCTCTTTATTTTCGCCTTACCTTGCTTATTTTGAAGCTTCTTTCCTTTAGATAAAGTATGTAGCCTGCTACAATACCGACAATATATGGACCCATCCGACAATATGGTCGCACAAAGTAGTATGTGAAATAGTCATCTTCGGACTTCTCAAGTCTGGAAGAATAGGATGGTAATTTGCGACAGTAAAGGTAATATGCATATGACCATTTAACATTAGGTAATAATTTCATAATTGGGTTGAATTAAACCTTGTTTCAAATAGTCCGTATTGTGAATGATGAGCTCGTATAAATGTTTTCTATGTAATTCTTGCAAATCGAAACTGAAGACCATCTCGGCCCATTCTATCCATGTCCAGCGATGGTCATTGCCATTGTCGAATTACTTATTTATCACAGGATTGCCGTGTTATTAGTGAATAAACTGTTGTTATATCAGATATTGTGACGCCAGGAGAGGAAATGATGCTACACTTTCGTCGATTATAAAACGAAATCACGATGGAGACCATAAATATATGAAATATATATATATATATATATTATATATTAGTATGCCATAATAAGGATCTTTGATTTGTGCTAGTTTCATTTGTGATTTTTATGAATCTTGTTAAATTAAATTCACTAATCACATAAAATTGAAATCCGTGTGTGCAAAATACTTGAATATATGATTCTTGATGAAAATACGTACTTTGTGTCAGCATTAAACAGAACAGCCGATAGGTGTAAATAGTAAGACACTGCATATGTTGTTATAGTAATTCCCAACAGAAACACACCACACATCAGTCCACCAAGTCGTCGGGAGCTTTAAACACAAATTTGTATTTCATAAATGACACCGTTTTGTAGAAATAATGAATAGAACATCTAATTCGGTTTGTAGAATTGAACAGTGTACTGCTTTCCGGACAAAACTAAGGTAAATCTTGACATTGAATCATTTTACTTCGGGGAGAATTTTGCTTTATAACAAAAACATTCAAAAATGTTAATTGAAATACTTACAAGTAGAGAGGTACAAGCAGTAATGGGCTAGTTATGTAGAACTGCATGTCGTTAGCGAGGTACCAGGTCCAGACCATACACTGTTAAACCAAAGCATCGTAATTAACCCGACATATCACCATGTGAACACTTATACATTTTTGATATTGTAGCACAGCGTCACAATTACAATGTACAACAATGTAATATTACCATATACCGCGGGTTTTTTTTTTTGTATAACGGTGGAACATCAAACACTTGATATGAACTGTACCGTCACAATTTAGACGTAATACAATGTTAATACATTATAGCACCATGCGATGGTTACATAACCACACATATCTCATTGGCAACACTTTTCAAAATTACAGTATTGTGAAACGCCAACATATCCCTAAGTATAGCAGCATCACACGATCGGGTCGTCATACAATGTAAACATCAAATAACTTAGCAATTACGTTGCTATCCATTGTAAATAAAACTTCATAACTATAGCAAGAGACAATGTCAATATAACATCACATTTAAAGCGTATGAGAACAAATACTAGCGCAGTACAACGTCCATATATAACCACACATGTGCATGGTAATGTATACTGTGATGGAAAAATAGTTCGGATGGCATTCTAATTAAAAAATGTTAAGATACAAAAATGATGATATCATTCATCACATCTATTTCTCCATCGTGATTAAACAGTTTTATAAAATAAGATCTGAAATTTACAGACCATATGCCACTTAAACTGTTGACGGTGCTATCTAATTTTGTTACTCTATATCACTTCACATTTCGAGTATTCGGGATGCTGACCACGTGGCCATTGTCGTTACATGTACCATATGATGTCCTCGTGTCTCCCGAACAAAATAGAACATTATGGTTCATCACTTACTGAATTATAGGTATCAAAGAAATTGTTGATGTATAGAAGATTTCTCCACCACGTTTGAGCACAGAAGTCTTTCTCAAATCCGTTTTCCTGCCAAAAAGGACCGTCTCCGGTATATCGTAGTAACGCTACATAGATAAACATCACCAACATATACGGAGGTGTCAATCTGTGGAGTAGAAAAATATCAATTCATGAAAAAAGGTACAGTCTTAACAACGCTTCACTATATTAAATAATACAAAATTTAAAAAAAAATCAGGATAACTTTAACATCTGATGCGATTTGAATCCAACCAATACCTCCAGAATCGATGCAAGTAGAACATAAACCAGTTGATATGTCCGTTCAGTCTCTTCATCTCCTTCATAAAAACGTAGGATAGCAGCAGCCCACTGTAATGTAACAGTCGCGTAAATTATAATTAATGTAACACATTCTGTTATTCTGTTACCGAAATCAGATGTCCAATATTACACAGAAACATAGCCACAAACATCCATTTAAGGTAATACTTCAACAACTGTAATAGTTTGACAATTTAACGATCAATATCGTGTTCATAATTATTCACGTAAAGAATCACCATTGCTATACCAAAAGTAGACTTATAAAATAAACCAATACACCATTTTACTTAACGGTTGATGGTAGTACAAAATTCAAAAGAATTTTGTTTTAACTGATAATTTTTTTTCTGATATGACTTATGTTCGAAACAAAACAGAAACACATCTACACACTGATTAATACAGATATACATTAGTGAGATAGTATGTTTATAAATTGTTAGTACGAATTTCAGTCACCTGAGTGTAAAGAATGTATCCACTGATAGTACACTGTTCACCACAACTCCTGCTGACCATTGTTGTAAGAAGGCGGGAACAAAGGACAGCTGGTTCGCTACAACAAAGATTTTATTACAATGTATATTAGTCACTGAACTTCAGTGTTAATCTTTTCTAAGATGTCATTTCCTTACTATTATGATGCAATGTTTCAAAGTGTGAGCTGACTATATCAATTAGTTTGCCGCATCTTGTTCAATATCTCTACTTCGGTGATATAATACGGAGTTTCTGTAGCGAATATATTTCTAAGTAGAAAAAATACTTCATATTGTCAAAAGCAACAAAGGGAACATCGACATCAACGCTGATGTTAAATCTACCAAAATGGCTTTCTTCGGGGTATCACAGCTTGGGATATTATTAGGATGACGCCCTTCTGAGAGGTTTGGATAAAGTAGATGTGCTTTTGAGTATCGTAGATTAAGATGTCTTTAATAGGGAGATAGGCTTGATAATTCAAGGAAGAAACTGCATATTCCGAAATTCCTACCCTTATGTACCCATAATTCCACTCGACGGTATGGCAACCCATACGTACCCATAATTCCACTAGACGAAATATGTAAAACTGTGTGTCCAAGGATGATCCATGAGACGCCCAGGAAGCGTATACCATTCACTGCGCCTAAAGAATCACTTGGCCTATTGGTATTAAGTAAGTTGAGGCCGTTTGTATACATAGAGAATGATATCAACAGCCGCGTCCTAACTCCTAAAAAATATGAAATATCTCTATATTTATTTCTGAGTGACGCATTCTGTTTGAAATCATTATTAATAAACTAGCAATAGATCCGGAAATGTTTAAGTGGTCTGCCGATTGATAAAAAATAAAAATGTAATTACATGACACAGACCAGTACAGTCGATCTTAAAATAAGAAAGTATACCTAGTAATCAAAAGATCAAGATCGATTCTTAACGCCTTTATAACAACAAGGAGAAGTACAGATATGGTTATAATCCAGGAATATACAATTATAGATATATTGACATATAACCTGTATATGTGACTATTGTTGCATCTTTTCCATTTCTGTTAAAACCGTCACTGATTTGTTTCTCGTTGTTTTTTGACGACTCCTTCATTTCTATTTCTGCATCTTTTGTATATCTTATGTCCATTAAGGTAGCAAATAGAATGAAGAGACCAAGGCACGTGAAAACCATTCTACAGAGAAAAAGAGAGAAAAATAAGATAAAGACCGATATATTATATCTTATTCCTACTTTATTGTTATTTCAAAATACATGTTTGATATTGCTGCATGTAGTCAGACTTCGATGTTTCATTTAAACTTAAATTAAACAATATGTGTATCTTAAGATTCTTTTTGCATGGTTGATTAGAAAGGATAGTGAATACCACTAGTTTTCCAGAAACAAGCAAGTCTATACAATATAAAGAACAAAATCGACTCAAATCTTAAGAAGAATAGTTCATTTGGAGGTAATTACTGAATTGATGAAGTCCTTTTCTAACTATAATGTAATGGAGATATTAGCCAATACTATGTAATACGATTAGAGACAATTATGCATACATGGTAGCTATTGCCAGCGTGTCATATTCTGGCGTTTCCTGGCAGGTCATCTCACTACAGTATAGTGTAGTATTCCCAAATGGCACCAGTCCCATTACTAATCACAGAAACATATTTATGATTACATAATTATGCAGATTGTAAAGTTTGGCGACTGCCAAAGTCTCTCATCTAAAACGATTAATTTCGAGAGATTCTTCGTTTATAAGAGGTATTACTTTAAATTATTCGCTCTTTCTATAATTATCGGTTTATAATACTGTCATATAAAATCAACGCAAATAATCATACATTCAAGAAAAGGACCACAATTTGACGAAACTGTTTGTTTAAATGGATACCTACATAAATCCATAACGAGTTTTATCTCGTGCCTGTTACACGTACTGGGAACACAGAGACCTAGTTCTGCATTCACTGGGTGACTGTTCACTACGGATACCTGCATGGAAAATTGGCAACTAAAATTACGGTTAAAATTATTCGTAAGTGTATGGAGAAATTAAGAAAACAAATCTATTGAGGAAGCAAAACAAACTGTATTTAAAAGATAAATAACAGAAAGATATCTAGTAAGAGTTAACAGCATTATGCTGAGGGAAATTAAGTATTAGTATTGGATAATTATGGCCAAAATTGGAGATAAGTCGTTAGCTAATTTCATCTCCAAAACTCGACATCTAATGATAATGTTATTGCTTAAACTTGAAACATGGAAACAAGTCATTGGTGTATAAATTATATCAGCTGAAATCAAGATATAATGTGTACGATAGTTATGCTGGAATATTTTTAAGGAATCATTATTGACATCAAGCATACAACATGGGATGATTTTGTCTACAGAATGATTGGTAATAAAGTGATAAAACTGCCTTGCGACGATGTAGTATTGGAAAATTATATCATGCACGTACATTTTGTAGAATTGATGTCGTTGAGTGAAGAAATAATGATTTGAATTAGGACTGAAACAAAAAGAACTGTCATCGTTCGATCGTAACATTGCTATAATATCTCTGTCTCAGCCACCACAGATTTGATCTGTCTGACAATAACTTTAACAGTGACAACTGGAAGAAATTGCGAACTTAATGCTGTTTAGTTACACTGGTAACGTTTCATTAATGTTTGGCATTTCTTGTGGTATTTAGTAGGAAAGAGTAAGAAAAACAGTAATTGATTTTGATGACTCACCAGAACTTTATCCAGAGGTATTGTGGCGGTACAGTATTTCCCATCAAACTTCCTTGAACTCTCTCCCATGCTTTTAAATGACAGGCACTCGTCAAAAGATCCTGTCCATTTAAAGTTTCCTTGTAATACCATGGCAGGTACTTTACCAGAGGCGTCGATCACTTTAAAGTGAAAGATTAGACTCGTATCAACAACATTGTAAACACACGACGAAATTGGAGAGAACTTTATGTTGAGCATTGTTGTCATGATACTGTAAAATGGAGGGAGGGGAAGCAACAACAAGAAGAAAACATATCATAATCCAACCTAAAGTCAATAAAACTAGGGCTAAATATAGACAGAAGACAGATTTGCATGAAGACCCCGGAAAAACACACAAGGAGAATAAGACCAGGTGTTCCGGAAGAGTAAGCGTAAGTCTCTGGCATAGTTTTCAACGGAATTCATAAGTTTCTTGGAATTCATACTCAAATTAACGGTGGGGTTCAAGATATTTAGGACCCTTCATGAAGATCTCTTATGGCTTAACATTTTGAATGATATTTAAATCACCAATTACTATGTGCCCAGTTAAACCATGGTTTAAAGAAGAGGTAGAACAAAGACAAGGTGACGGAGAAGTAGTTCTCAGGTCATCTACATTCAGTCGTTTCAGCGTTTGTAGTTGAAAAGTTTGAAAGCAACGGACTTTCAGTAAGACTAGAGAGTTATTGGAGTATTTCTGCTTTAAAATAACAGATTTCTGGTGTATTATGTTGCATGTTAATAGCAACAACTCCCTTATTTGCAAACTCAACTTTCATAAATTGGCGAGTTGTTGGAGGATCGCGAATATCTGTACGAACAGGTTTGAAAACCCTGATTTGTGCCACATCATTAAAGATTTCATGAAGTCGCCAAGCTAGTTTCCAGAGATCACTAGCAGCGGTATCAGCTGAATCCACTTAAAGTTTTCGTAACGAGGAGAGCAGAAAATGATGGACACCTTTTGGTTTCTGTTAAGTATCTACTACACCTTCAATCGGTACATCATATTTACTTTTTTATAATGCCTCTTCTATTCATGGCTACCATTACGTGTGATTTAAGGAGCGAATAAAGCCTAAACGCCGTTGTTACTACATTCAGGACTGGACAAATTTCATAGAGTCCACATGGTCATTGAAGCCATAGGGCGTTACAGTGCAAAGGCATTTATTAAAGTGTTCCTCACTTTGTCTACAGTTCGATATGCTCTGTGTGGGGACATTTGTATGGTGTTATTTTTTCCAGAAAAACCAGAACAAAATATTGCTAGCTATCATATACAATGAGAATCATTGATGAATACATAAAATAAGTAGTCTAGTCTTTGGAAAAGAACATTGAATGTGTATGCTTTGAGTAAATAGAAATATGTACTTACTTTTCAATGCTGTGACATTGTCAGTTGTAATTTCAATAAGGTGATTCCAACAAACAGTGGAAACAGGGGAAAATTGCCGAATGATGAAGTCTGAAAAAACTTTTATCTGGTCATTAGTAAGGTGCGAAATGATATCACTGATGTCTATATTTCCATCATTTCCATACAGCCTTCCAAACTTCTTTAACATATCCGGTGGAAGTGTTATGCCGCTGCCGAACAGAAGCTGCAGGAAAGCGGTATCATTTCCTGAAGCATGCAATAGTAACGCATCAGTTATCATTTTTAGATTTTCCTGTGTTATAATGGACATGGGCAGGCCGATATTGTTAGAATGAATATAGCTACTTAACAGTGCTTGGATTTCCTTTCCTTGCAATGCATTTAGGAAAAGATTATTGATGTTTGACTGAAACACTGACGGCGTTTGATGTAATTTGTTGGATGTGTTTTGTCCAGGATTTGTGTCGTCAATCTCTGTCATGTTTCGGTACCAGCTTCTGTAGAGCGTTGTACCCTCTGGTAGAACTTTCGGTTCGTGAAGAGCAGTTCTGTTTACAATTGACGTTCCGTTCCGTACTATCCCTGTTGGTATGCCATTTTTTTCAAGTTCTATAGTTTTGGAAGAGTGATGTAAAGCTCTGGTTGTAGACACTGGCGTTGGTGATAAAGGTGTTTTTCTTTTGAAATGATCGACTGGGAGATTCATGCTACTTTGGTCACTCGAAAGTAAACGTTCCACAACTAAAGTTTCGCCTGTGGGAGTACTGTTGAGTCTCCCATTTGTAGACACATTTTGCCGATAACTGTAATGATTAAAAGGTATAGTGCTTTGGGAAAAGCTCCAAATGCAACAGATGGTGGTGATGTGAAGCAAACCTCTACATCCGGAACAAGTCATGATGGGTCACAGATTAATTGTTGTAAAATTGCTCACTAATCACTTTCCAATATGTGAATAAGAACATCCAGGATTTCGCAATCACAAATAACCATGATTCACGTTCATTGTAAATACCCGAGTCTGTTGTTATGAAACACCAGGGTATTGTATGTAGATAACGCTCCGTGTACTACCGTTACTTTACGGTATATATACCTATGCTCTGAGTAAATCAATTTTGAAAAATAAATCTTTAACGTTTGAATTCTTTTGAAGTGTACATGAGGAAGTCTTTATAAACTTTTTACTCTGAGATCCGCAAGTTTCCAATGGAACATGGAAATGTTACCCAACACAGGTATGTAAAGCTACCTTGTATGTCTATACTTTTAACTGCTCATGATCAAATGTTTGTTATCTACCGCCTAATCTATATGTCGCTGTGTGTATCCATTTAAAGGGCGGCGATATCAATAATTGTCGTTAAGATAACAACTGTTTTGGCAAATTAACGAATGTAACCTATTTACGAAAATATACGCAATTTGGGTCAGTATTTGACTTATTTGTATAAAATGGAAGCTATAAACATATTTCCTAATCCTGATAATCTCAAATGCAAGTTTTCAGTTTTAACATAATCATCTTTTGTAAACTTTAAAGGAATCATAATGAGTTATCAATAAATATGTATATATATAGAATCTTAACTGAATTGTTAGTTTACATTGTATATATGGGTATGGAAATAATTTTCATTTTTCATGCCAATGGACTTATTCCAATGCTTTATAAATATATCTTGGAAGATATATCTGAATATTATGAATATCTCTTAGCTCCATGGATCCAATATCAATGAGAATACCATAAATATCACATGGTTCCACGGATTGAATGGCCAAAAGATTGTAGAGAATTTCAAATTACTTTTAAAGATATAACCACATTGGAAAATAGCCCGTTGCTTCGCGTTATATTACGTTCGATGTACATGTATTCGGTATCGAGAAAATGCTGATATGTATCAGATACTTTTGTGAACACAAGTGTCTCGGTGAATGTGATTCATTTGTTCATCGAATCAAATATCCAATGATCCAGATTTTCAAAATCATCAGGCAGGACATTTAAAAAGAAAATAAATAACTGTAAATGCGATTGTTGTTTGAAGAGGTGATTATCATTTCCCCAGCGATTCTATCTTGAATGTGAAATAATCGCTGTCAGTTGAAGTACAAGTGTGCCTAACGGTCATGATATGATTGGACAAACATGACATCCTTTGGTCAACATCGCTTTATCTACATCTTATGTCCATTTATCTATACTAGACAGTATTCTTGAGTAAGAAACCTTTAAGTAGGTAAACAATATATACTGTGATATGATGTACTAATAATTTGGTTAATACTATTTTTATGTAAGAAAACTAATTAATTATAACCTGCTATATTAATGTAAGACATCACATGATTTTATTTTAGTATTAGTATTTACACCTATCAACAATTTTTTACGCGAAATGAAAATATATTTTTCCAAGAAGAAAGTTGTATACAATGACAATAAATTGAAGCATACGATACGTTGAACGTGATGTCTCGCACCTAACCCAGTTATGAGAGATAGACTATCTCGATTATCAGCGGGACCCTACTGCATAAGTCAGCTAATCATGGCGAAGGTAAGGAGAAAAGCTTTACAGATTACAATATAACATAATATGTATTTCTAAAGGTTTCTTCAACCATTTTTGACTCTATCTATTACATTGTGACCTATGTTATATTGAGATATGCATAATAGACAATGACTCGCTTCAATTATCTAATTGTTTGCTGACCATCTAGAGTAAACAGATATAAAAAAAAAAACAAAAAAACAAAAAAACAAAAAAACACAGGAGATGAGGTACGTTTATCGTGACACGTGTAACTATATACATACATATATATATACATAATGTTGTAGCGTCATTGATGTATCTATAGATAAGTTGAAAGCACCTTTCGCTAATTTTGGCTTAATGGTTGTGTGACCTGTTAATAACACACTTCAAAAAGCTATTCCAAAGTTGCATTAACCTATTCTGTACCCTGGTATGTTTTTGTTTACCATCCTTTAGAACATAATGATATGACCTTTAGTGCAATGTCGGTAATAAAAACTTCATAAATATATTGAGATAGTATAACTCATAACAAATCATAACTAAAAAATAAATTGGTTTACTCTCTTCAACGCAAAAATGTATAGAAATCAAAATAAAAGTCAAATTATTACGAAGCAATCATAGATTACTAACTGTGAGATAACCTTTGTGACCTTGAAATCTACTGGATGTCATAATATAATACAGATATCAGTTTTTTTGTATCGGCATTCCCTTCTTGCAGACTACAGATTACTGGGTCGAAGGTTTGGTAGCTGCCGTCTTCACACCCTTGGATAATAATGGGTAAACTGCTTTATTCATGAATTTATTGAATCTAGAAGACTGCTATACAGTATAAATCCGACTATTTCAAACTGAAGTCATTTATCAATGCATGTGATTACGTGGTAAGGTATTACTATTTTGTACTTATATATATCATAGTTGTACGAGCATATCTTTACAGGGAACTGGAATTATCTAAGATAGAACCATACTGTGAATATCTGCTGAAACATAACATTCGTCATGTATATGGTAAGTATCGTGTGGTTGTCACACAGTTTTATATTCAATATAAAACACCCCAAATTTATTCAAATTCAAGTAAAACGTTTTCATCCTGATTTAAGATTGTTTAGGAAAAGAGATATTACAGTACACAAATTTCGTAAAAATGTTCCAGTGTACCATACAGACTACAGGGCATTTTGTCTGAAGCAAGTTGGTGCCTTATTGCCATGCTGGAATTAAAGAACTCTTCTGACTTTATAGTTACAATGCCTTGTGTAGCGTACTTGTTGTGTTATACTATAAATACTCCTAATTGGAATGTAAATGTGAGTATTTATCTAAATCTACTTGACGTACTATTCTGTACAAAGACACAGTCTATGATAACCGGTACCACTCAATTATTCGAAATGGAATCCAACTAGTGACAAAACATGTGAATGTCTAGGGATTTTAAAGTTTAAAAGAAAGGATTTGCCAAAAGAAAATCAATATCTACAGGTGACCTTTCAAAAAGTAACTGAGATGAAAGTCTTAACGTGACCAAGAACACAAATTGAGAGATAACCCCAGGCCCGGGAACACACGTAAGCGGATGCCATGGAAATCGCAAATCCAACCTGCCGTGTCCTGAGCAATAAGGTGCCAGATTACTGGTAGCATACAATGATTGTGTTCGGAGAGGACATTCACAAAATGATATAGTGATCCTGGCACAAGGACTGGAAACAAAACATGTGTAGATAACGATCAGCGATAACTTATATCACAGTACCACACACACACGCTGGTTCTCAATACTCTCGACATTACATCTACTATGAAAAGAAATTTACGATGTTTCGTCCATACACATTGAACACACGTCGTATCAAAAAAGCTTACATGATACACCATACTAACTTGGCAGAGAAAATAAACAGGATTTATGACATTTTTTCCCGATTATTTTAAAACATGTAAATGACATTTGTTAAAAGTTATCAAACACCTAAAACCATTGTCAACTAAATCAATTACAGACACATCTAACCTGTGCACATTTCGTTAGGAAAATGAAAATTTGCCTTATTTTAACCCATTTGATGTTATGTCTGTTGTAGTCAATGGCACCACAGGAGAAGGGAAATTACTTACTCTGCCGGAGCGTAAGACTATCGCTGAAAAATGGATCAATGTATCGAGGAAAAGGTAGGATGGACGTTTGATATCAAATTTTGTATTAATGTGTAATAATACTCAAGGCCATAACACGGGAGAACGGAAATTATGCCGAATTAGGCATGTAAAAACCAAATAAAACATGTTACTTGAGAAATTAATGTAATGCTAATTGATCTGAATTTAATGTCATACATTTAAATTTGCACTTCCTTTATAAACTTTGCAAAGGTAAACGACTTTCATTAGGCTATGAAAACAATGATATTCACAAGCCATTTGGGAAATATCAGTTTATGCGTAGTAATGCACAAAGGGAGGGCTACACCGAAAGGTATTCGAAATCCATGGCTTACCGTGACCAGAATACTAAATAAGAGAAAACCTTAAGCCCGGTAGCATATATATGTGGTCATTTAAATCAACAACAAAAAAGTATCCTGGATAAACAGTTCTAATTGCCTGAAGTTGATCAAGATTGTGTTAAGGGAATAAAATCTGCAACGCACTTGTGATCCTTGTTGAAATATCAAGGAAATATCCAAAAGAGAAACTGTGATTTATGACAGAGAAACTATTACATATGTGTAGTTGCAGAAAAACGCCAAGCATAGTTATTTATGCATGGACATGGTGGGCTTCTTGTAATTTGAATGTAACCAATAAAATTTCATAGTGTTAATGAAGGTTAAAGAATTACCTCCAATACTTATATAACGACTGACATAATTGTGATTTCTCTGGGGCTCTATCTTTTGATTCAGATTGTCAGTGATGATCCATGTTGGATGCTTGAACTTGGCAGAAAGTCTGGATTTGGTAAGGTGATATTTAATTGACACTATTGAACAATGCAGCGTAATATACATTATTACTATAATGGTAGGGAAAAATTCCTCTTTAAGATAGAGGTAAAGATACACATAAGTGAAAAACACTTCTAAATAAAAATTCATTGAGCTGCATCCAGTTCTTGTCTTCATCAATGACGCTTGATGTTCAAATCAGAATAATCAACGATTGTCAAAAAGAGCTATTGATATTTGCTCCCAACGTACCCTTGTAAATAAAATGACCTCATTCGAAATTAAAAAGATATATAGTTATAAGGCTAATTGAAGAAAAAAAAAATTCTTTCAGACTCGACATGCTGCTAAAGCAGGAGCTGACGCCATAGCAACACTTCCGCCATTGTTCTTCAAACCAAACAACATAGGTATGATAATGATTAGATACTCCTATATCTTTATCACAACATCCAATCCGACGTGTTCCACGGAACCAACGTCACACTCTCAACTCAACGACAACTTTTAAAATAAGTGTTCTGAATTATATTCAAGCGCAAAACGATGACGTGTCACAAATTCTACTCTCTAAGCCTGATTGTATGTCTATTGTACATCAACAATGTCGTACATCAAAAGGAAGGGGAATCTAAACTGCCATCTAACTACCGATACATTTAAATAAAGCCTGTTTATTCCTCACTATTCACAGCGTTGCACGACATTATTTTGTTACGCTATCCTTCTACATCTTCATACCACTGTAGTCACGTGGTCATATTATAACATACGTAAACCCCAGATATGAAGTACAAATGTATGTTAGTTTTTCAAAATCGTATAGCTATATGTATTTTTTAGAGTAAAGTTTATACATGTACATTCGATCATTCTTCAGTAACCTACAAGTCGATAGAAATCCGACATGAGTTCACAAAACTAAAACTATGTACATCTGCAAGCAAATATATAAAAATGGACAGCTGCCATCTTCAACCTACCATTTAAACATATTCTTAGTCTTAGTTCCTTTTTCCGTCGCCACAAGATCTGTATCGACGCAAGGTTACATGTCGTTAAGCTTAATTTATCACATCAGTGCCCTTTTCTCACTTTAGATGCTCTAGTGCGGTACTGTAAGGTGATTGCCGATGAAGCCTCCCACTTGCCGTTTTACTATTATCATCTCCCAATCATGTCGCAAGTATATCGTAAGTATTACATCCTACTTGTAAGATAGTCTTGTCTGTATTACGAATAAACATAACAACCATTAACAAAAAGTCTTGTGGACAAGATTTATCATTTTGTTTACATTTACTGTTTGTAATAAGATTTTCAACCCCATACTTCGTTTACATGTATAATAATGTCAAGCCTCTGTACATTGTTTGCTATGATGTATTGAAGGTCAAAGATTAGCTGTTAGACTTACCGAGGGAATTCGGACATCAGGTCAAGTAAAAAATTATAGCTGATAGATAGGAAGTGGTTTCAACAATTCAACTGTGTAGATCAATACTGCATTAGGCTAATTACAATATTTCTAAATATAATTGTATCATATGATTTACTGCCAAGAACAGTAAAGTTGTGAATTTACAACCACGACAACTTCTTAAATACAATAGATACCAGCATACAATCTTTTAGTATTTATTACTTATAGAACATTTTACTGATACACTGAATGAACTAATCCCTTCTGGACCTGTTCAGTAAACATGGAAGATTTCCTCAACCGCGCAAAGGATGAGATCCCGAATATGGCTGGAGTGAAGTTCTCCGACAAAGATCTTGTCGATTTGATAGGATGCAGATTCGTGGATGACGGGCGCTATAATTTGTTATATGGATGTGATGAGGTAGAGTATCCAGTTAAACAAATAAAATGATAACAGTTTAGAAGGTCATACTCGAAGAGAACTCGAGTGGAATAACACCGATTATTCATATTATCAGCAAACTGTATACAAGTTGTAGGAGTTATCTTCCTTGGAATATGGTATTAAAAACAATCAAAATTTTCAGTGTAAAATTAATCATTTTGATCAAATATCTTTACTATGGAACAACGTATGTGATTTATACTTCGTGTGATCTGTGTATTTGTATCCTCGATTGGAAGAAGGCTAATATAGGCAGCGACAATAAAGTTGATTGAATATTTACAATTTATCGTTAGTTGGTTAGAGTAGATGCAAATCAGTTTAAGAAAGCTAAAGAAAGAAAGTGTATGTTGTTGCGTTTGTCAGCGTTTACTTCTGGTAATGTAGACTGATCAATTGCAAAACAAATTTAGTGTTAATGTTATAAAGAGAGGATAAATTTATTTATATCACAATCACATTTATATGTGGATCTAAAGAATAGAAAAAAAAACTATTTCTATAATGGCATATTCCTGTCACATTTTAACATTTTTTTTAGATAAATATCTCGCCAAAGTTCACTCAAAATCCCTTACTATGATTGGCGTTGTTCAACTTAATTGTCATTCTTTGACTTTTATAAATATTGTGAGTTTCTCAATATAGTTATCTCACTTCCAGCGTTACTTTTCTCCTTTCTTCCTCTCTATCAGCGATAACCTTTAAACTTGATAAAGACCATTTGAAAATTTTAGGTGGCCATCTAATTAGGAAATATTATATTTGGTTATCTGTTGGATATAGTTTAGTGTGTCTGGTGGCTTCGTGTTTTATATGTTTTATATTAGATATTGGATCAATGATACTTACCATTCCGGAACACTTGGTCTTATTCTCCTTGCAGTTTATTTAATTTGTTCCTATGTTCGTAGTTTGCCATTTTTCATAAATGTCTAAGTGTGTATGCTAGTGTCTTATTGATATACCATACAGCAACTGATGGCTGGTCTGGTGACAGGAGCTCATGGGGCTGTGGGTAGTCTCCATAACTTCATGCCTGACTTGTACCACAGAATGATACAGCGGCTGAAGGATGGTGACTTTGATAGTGCACGGAAGGAGCAGATACACGGACAACGTCTTTGTAGGATCATATACCGTTATGGTGAGCTTTATGTGACCATATACCGTTATGGTGAGCGGACATTGAACTGATCAAATTGCTTATCGTCATGATTGTGAGCAAATTTCATTTACAGTCTACAGTTTGCCAGTGGGTTTATGTAAAAAACATAACATTTTTTGTTTACACAAGGTTAACTTTATAGTGTTAATCTATTTGGAGTTGAGTTACCTACCTTTACTTACACGTCTCACAGTACGTGAAGGGAAACCACTACTACATTACAGTTCACTTTGAAAGCCAAACACCACCTACAATATGTTTGCTGGTGACTTTGAAACATTATCAACAATTGGTTTATGTTTATAGCATTCTGAGCTATACTCTGGAAGCTCTTGATGTTAATTGGTGCCATTATATTAGAATGAACATTTCATGGCTACACCACAATTGACATTAGGGTATTTTTAATTTTTTAATGGGAATTTTACATTTCATTATGTTGCCAGAGTGTACTGATCCAAGTAATTTCAACATCAATCCGAAATGTGAAATCAAATAACGCTTTCGTAGTTACAATATTATTTTTTCCAAATATTTTTAACATTTCATACCAGTTAGTTCATTCATTGTGGGACGAGAGGTTATATACAACACAATTAAGGATCAAATGTTCTTTCCTTTGTATCTTGACAGGATCGATTTTGGGAGGAAATGTCGCGGCGCTGAAAGCCATGATGTCCATTATCGGGCTTGATATGGGACCCCCTAGGGAGCCAATGCGTGCTATGACATCACAGGAGTTCTGCAATTTTAAATCTGAAGTTGAAAGTATTGGATTTTTTGAATGGCACTAAATTAACGTGTGTTTTTACATATACAGCTAATTATTTCGCATTTTGACCGGCATACAAACTGATCCAATTGACATATCTTGATCCTCAAATCTCTGAGATTATTGCAATTTGAGCATAATTCACATCTCTATTTGTATCTTGCCAAGTTGAACGGTGGTTGATCAATGATATATTTCTGTAATTTTGTATCAAAGGAACATCGCTATGAGTATGAGCTATTTAAGATATTAATTTAATATTTGTGTCGTTAGGATGGAGTTATATATATATTACTTCAATGAATTCAGTATTTTCTTTGTTGTCATTTTCCAACCACGCGGCCCACCTGTTGTATGTACATCGTGCCAGTACTGAGGGTAATAGTAATCTTTCCATCTCACTATAACATGATTGTATATGTATCATGTTTTACTTGAAGTGGTCCACGTTCGCTGAAAAACCACCGCTGTATCGCTCTCTACGGTAAACGGGTTTTCTTTTCTTAGTTACTTTTTTCATAAACATTGGATTATATTGATATTGATAGCCCAATAAATCTACGCCCACACATTTTAACAGTTCATGGACATACGAATTCTTGAATAAAAAAACCTACGAAGTCACTGAAATTAATATCCCCATGAAAATGTATAGTTTAACTGTACATGTATATGTATATGTACACCATGATGCTAGTTTCACCTGAGGGACTGGAAACTGAACATCACATTGATGTTATCTTTTGTTCTTATGTGCTTACGTTGAAGGGAATAGTTTATGTATGTTAATAGATCATACTGTAATTCATTGTTATAAATTGGTTTAAGGTATTCCATGTATAATACACGCTGTTTGAAAAGTTCACAACGTTTATATTATTGTTTTTTTTTAACAAACCTTTGTGATACATCCCAAAATTTATATGAACTTTTACCCATATACTGCTTCTTCGAAAAATACTGTCTTCTATGTGCTAACGGCTTTCACAGCATGTAGACAGAACTTTGTGGAAAACAGATATGAAAATGATATATTTCAATTTATGACACGAAAAATATCGTATCTTTTTTCCAACATTCACAATGAAAGTAAATCAAGCATCATGTGATATAAAGCTACCTAACATGAAATAATGAAAGGTACAACAGGAAAGTTGCTACCAACTGACATTGATGAAATGATGTCTTAATTTTGTTTCATCTGTTATATTTGGCAAAACATAGAAAAAAATCAACTTGCACTCCCCCATCTACTTTATTGTTAATGTTTTGAACTTTATAATCATACACAAGGTCATGTCTCTAATCATCAATTATATACCATGCAATATTGCTATTATGAAAGTCACAGTATAACCTGCCTTTTCTCTTATTTAGGGAAATCTCCCCATGATTCCATTTTTTGTCGTTCAACACGTGACATCTGCTACAAACAACACTGGCTTGATTATTGTATATGACAATATGATTCATTCTTATATACAAGTAGACTTTTTATTTGTGAAGATGTAGAAATGTATTTCAAGCTGGGATAGATTCCCACAAGGTCAAGCAAACAGTTGCATTTGCAAAAAATAAGGCAATAATTTTCGATTGATTACATGAAATTTCATTTTTAATGCAATTCTAGTTTTATTACATCATAAACCAATAACTGCTTCTTTCATTATACACATTATAGCTCATTCAAAAGTCATCAAGGATTAAACACCATAAACAATACAACACTAATAGAATATGTTCAACGTCCCCATATATTCTGATCTAAAAGTGAAAAATGTGTTATAAATTAAGATAAAAAATAACGTTTTTAAAGTAACACCTAATGCAAGCTGTATTTATTTCTGATATTTCATAGATTTGCTGACGATGTAACAGGGGATTTGTGACCATTTTATTCTTTTTGTCCGACTCATACCTTTTTTACATTTCAAACTTTGTAGAAATAGAAGAACAATTATGTTAACTCGTTATATAAGCTCGTTCAACAACTGTTTGGCTATCACTTAATGTTGTCAGTAATAAAGAAATATTATCTATTCAATAAGCAAAATTGGAATTTAGCCTTCGAATGAGTATCTATCTGCACATCCGCTCAAAGACATTGGCATGCACAAAGACATCTGATGAACATATCTTATTTCTACATAGATATTGGTTAAACATTAAAAGGACATAACGCTGATTAACACTTTTAAAATACATCACAATTTAATCTTTCAAGAATCAGTCAATATTTTATCTGCAAAACAGTTCACGAATTATCAAAAGATTCTGTGGTTGTATCGGTATGTTATTGTTTTCAAATACCCGTCAAGCACGTGTTGTCTTTTCTACAAGTTCCTTGGTCATAGAAATCGGAGGAAGGATGAGAGAACCCTTCTTCTCTAGTCGCAACGATTGAGGGAGTGGTGTTGATTTATTAGGACTGTCAGTTCTAGAAGTTGTTGTTTCTGTGGTTCCTTCCTTAATTTTTGGCAGCAGTGAATGTTTATTCAATCCCTTATCTTGTTTTTCTTTATCCCTTTCCACGACCAATTGGTCAAACGTGTGCTGGCCATTGTTTTCATCATTACTTTTACTAGTGTTTTCTTCTTCCTCTCGCACAAACTTGTAAAAAGGATTAACTAATCCTCGAATTGGAGGTAGGGCTCCTCTATGTTTACTAAAAATGTCCTTTCTCTGCCTATCATCGTCCTGCTCTTCGTCTTTTTGTTGTTTCTTTGGTTCTTTTTTCTCCTCTTTGAAATGTTTATCAAAGTAATTGTGCATTCTTTTCGACATTTCAATAGGTTTGAGAATTTTCCCAGTCTCTATACTCTCCTGAATTTGTTTCCTGACTTTTCGCATTCTTCGAAGTCTAGGATGATTGTCAGCTATTTGCTGGTCGATGTCACGAGTAAACGCAGGGATTGACTTCCCTCCATAATAACCGAGCATACTTTCCTTAACTTTTGTTGCCACTCCGTCTCTTCTTATTTTCATACATTGTTTTAGAAATTTCTGACGAATAAGAATTCGTCGCACTGCTGTGGTTGATTTTTCCCAATCCAACGAATGCTGTACCTTTTCTCTTGTAATGTGCTCGTCTAAGACACCCCATTTTGATTTGATGACGTCGTTAACGATGTAAACGTATTTCCGATGGTTATTTTCACGCTTTCGAACAATGCCAAGACGTCCTTCATCCATCTTAAACAGTAATGAACGGATCCAGCTACAAACTGATATATTTTATATATATATAAAAAAAACGTTGGCGGAAATTTGTATTCGCTGTGCAGGATGAATATAAGTCTATTTTTCACTATACACATGTATGATAACATATACGTAGATTCTAAGTATGAATGATATGGTCGTGTCTAAATTTTTATAACCTAGATATATACACACGTTATCAGAGACTAGTTCTCTTTTTGGACGACGTCCCTCATTAATGTTTCGTTCCTTTTCTATATGATTGATGTAATTATATGTAATTGTGGTGAATTTGGATTGGTGGATTTAAAGTCCATTCTCTCTTAGGGCTTCCGACGTCACATTATATATCCCAACATAGAAGGATGTTTATTTGGCCAGGTTTCCAGATCCTTAGAAATCCCGACAACCAATCTCACACTGTAAATACAAATAGAGAAAATAAATTGAATATGGTGTCAGATTTTATCTCTGACATTATACATAGCCAATAGAATTGTCAGTCCAGATATCCTTCACATTATAGGTATAACTATAAGAAGTATAATAGAGTGAAGTCATTACCCGTGACTGCAATTAAAGTACTATTGAAAAAAAAAATCGATTATTGGGGAATATGGTGATTTCATTATTTTCATAGACAGCGCACCAATATATATTTTCTACTTTATGCCTCAAGTTAAATGTTAAAACAAGATAGGGTCGAGTGGGCAGATCTAAAAACTGTATAACACGTTACTCAACTATTACAGCATTTCATTTATTTTGTCCCGATAAAGAAACTGTTTATTGGTTACTTATCAAAGCGTTCTCCTGAGATTGATCAAGGTATGTAAATGTTTGACGGGCTAGAAAAGGCCTCCAGTGATGTTTGACAGAACAATTTACATTGATTAGTAACTAACTGCAGGGCCGGCTGCTTCTCATGTAAAACAAGTGCCACTTTTAACTTGAACATATATAAGGATTTCATTCACATAACATCAGAGAAAATCAATATTCTATGATGTTACATGATAAACATTTTTTGTATTATTTGTGATCATTCTAAAAGTTGTATACCTGCAGCAGTGGGGTAGTTTTAGGTATCACAGAAAATGCCATTATTGTGTAAAATGGCTATTCAACTAATTCACAGCTTGTAAAAATCAATAATTTAGCCTGCAACGCATATATTGTATGTGTATGTTTTTTAAAGAAGCGAGGGCTACAATATTTGTCTCGTTTGCCATGAACTATTTAATGCTTTCACTATAAGAATCAAATATAAATCAAACGTCGGATAATACGATCGGATTCATTTTTATTAATTTGAAAAGGATGTGTAAGTACGCCTTTATTAACCTAAGTTCTTCCTAAGGATATTTCTAGTGTATACAAATACTACTTTCTAAACATAAAACCACGCTTACATTATTTACTGCAAAGTCAAACAGTAACGAAAAAAAATCATTCACATGTGATTTTAAATAAACATAATTTCTCTTTGTCAATATGTACAAGGTAATGATTCAAGTGAAAGAAGTTCTTTATGATAAGATAATTGAAGTCACTTCCTTGAATCCATCTGTTGAACATTTCATGTCAATGTATATATATGCACTATGCCTCCGAGACACAATTATAACCTATAAACGGTCTACATAAAGAATGTACCTGTACCCATTATCACAGAGCTAATAAAACATACGGATTGCTGGTTTGACACCATCATGTTTGTATGAAGCGATTTCAATATATATATTGTATCACAAGAACTCAGTGTGTTGTCGAATTCAAAGTTAAAGGGAATACCGGCAATATACATTTAGGTCATGGACAGCACGACACAGGAGAGTGTTATAAAAAAGAAGAGAATTCCAACAAGTGAACATAATTGGAATAAAAAATCAATAAAACTATGGGAAAATATGAGCAAAAGAAAGTTTTACATGGAAACTAAGGCAAAGTATTCCGAAATAGTAAGCGTCTTCTGCTTCCTGGACGACACCCGTCATGTTAAAGATATCATATTCAAAGATAAATGTTTCTGTGACTTACAGTTTTCCTTACCGAGCGAGAATCACAATTGTATGAGTCTGTGTTCATGTACACGCTTAATCTATTCTGAGTATCTTTGAGTACAATGACTATTCAGGGACACCTTATCCAAGTATGCTATAGTTGATCAGGGGATCTACCTGGTAAAATACTCACCTTGATATGTTTTACATGTTTTGACATTGTTGAAGTTGTATTATATTCAAACACTCAAATCATTTTCTGATAGTTTTCACAATCTTGAGTCGTTCTGTAAACATAAGAAAAATGTTCCCTTTAGCACTTGAGAACTAATCGTGCTGTCGATGACCGCTATGCTCATAAAGTCGACAAAATGTAGGGTCGGATAAATTTAATACCAGCAATAAGCTACCAGTTTCCTACTTTTTATCACACAGTTAAACTAACTTACAACTAGAAGACATATACTGGCTTTTAAAGAAAAAACGTAATGATGAAAAAAAAGTATTTATATGATTTCAAATATTAAAATTATTCGCTTTTCAGAACTCATTGTGTATTTTTTTTTCGAAATCAGAAGAGCGTGTGTTTTTTACATTAAAGAGGTGTCAACATGAGTGTATTACTATTGACTCTCTCTGATTGAGGTAAGGGGGTGAGTATATGTGTATCAGAATGCGTGTGTATTCTGACCCCAATCAAATTCAATGTGTAGCTATTTTTTTAAGACAACATAGGGGATAGCTACTGGAAGAGATTTTACAATTGTTAACTTCATGTTGGTAGTTGCCCAAAGTGCTAAAGTCGGCATTGATGATCAGGGACACAATGTGTTTTATGTTTCTTATTTTTCGTTGTTACATGTTGGAACAATCTGCTTCATTTTTTTGCTCTCATTTATCTGTTTAGCAGGGAGCGGGGACTGACAGGTCGTTATTTCAAATAGCATACTGACGAATATAGAAGACAATAATGGGTACAAGTACATAGATGATCAATGATTAGGGAACAAACATTGAATCATGGTGTGAGTTTCATTACTATTGGAATCAATGGAGTGCGTAATTCACATTCATAACGGAATTTAGAATAATTAATACTGGTCCAGGAGCACAATAGTAATGAGCGTTGATATGCCACATATCTGACCAATCTAGAACATATCATTTCTTCAGTAAAAAATGATCGATGATATTTAGAACAGACTTTATTATTGTCATTAGGGAATGATTTATCAATATGTTAATTGCCATTTAAAGATTTAGGTATTCACGTTCACCTGTTTTGTCGTTCTTGTGGGATGCAACTCGGTACTCACTTCGAGAACATGACATTACTTATATTGGATCACTGGTTATGATACCATTGACGTTGACAACCAGAAGACACGTTCTGTCATTTTCAGTTTATCTGTGTTCATATTTTCATTGATTTTGAAGGCCTTAGCATGTACTATATCAATCAGTATCCCAAACCTGCTTAACTAACACAAAATTCACAAACTTTCCCAGATATGTTTGAACGAAAAAACTTTTAAATCATTAAAAAGCTATTGCACATCTCTATGAGGAAACCTATTTACATATTCCTTGAACATATCTTTATCATATAAAGAGAAATCTGACAAAATTTAATGCTATTTTTGTAAACTTAAATATAGTAAGTGGATGATGTATATATATATTCAAGGGGTGATATGAAAATTGATACCTTATTTCAAACTGGTTGCGAAGACTATTCATAACGCCAGTCAACCAGGAAGTGTATACGTGTATACGTGTTTATGTAGATTACAGACGATAAAGAAATCTATAGAAAATTTCAAGATTATCAAACACCAAACTGAATTTTAAACGTTTACCAGAAATAAGATAAAAAATTACTCTAAATATTACACTTACCTCAAAATGTGTAAGATTTTATCGTCCTTACAGAAATTAGAAACAATGCATCATTGATATATATGACATCATATTGCTATTATTGGCATGTTGGCTGTAGATAAACAACTAAGGGGCATTTGTATGGGATGGGCTAATTTATCATTGTAATGTATAAAGGGATATGTGATTGTATCGATCTTTTTTGTTTTTGCTTTTAAGCGTGCTTTAAATTTTTCCTTTATTGCTCATAAAACGACACATATTGCTGAATGCCCATATATAGACGTGTACTAGGTGTGTGTATAGTAATATCATGGTTATGGAGATCAAATACACATAATTAAGTGTAAAAGGTACAAAGCGGCCGAAATTCCAAATAATTTACCAAATCTTTAGGAATTTAGATGATTACGGTATTAAACTTAATATAGCTATCTCCTTGTCTTAATTTGCATGCTATATAAATTATGTGTATTTGTCTACATGCTTATGCAAAAGTTAAAGAACATTTTTTTTGTAGAATTACGTCATTACTTAAAAGTTTTGAAACGTATTGAAATGATAACTTTATAAATCTTTTCAAGATATTAATCTTAGAAAATTTTGATAACACGAAACATTGTTTGAATAAGTTTGATAAATACGAAAGGATTACGCCGATTATGACTTTTACATTAAACAGAAGGACATATTAATCATATTGAACAATTGCTCTTAATAAACGATAGGGTTTTAATGTCCTATAAAACACGGTGTTGGCTGCTTTTGTAAATAATTTGAGATTCCTAGACAGATATAAGCAATGTATGATTTATGAAATTGAAAGGATCTTTTATTACTGATGTGATTAAACCCACGCCAAGGTTTTAAACAAGTTCCTTCACCATAAACAAACTGTTTTATCAACAAATCGATAGGACCTTAATTGACATCCATAACGTATGCTTATGGCTTGTAATCAAATGAGAAATTATACTCTTTTGAATTCACATAATAATATCCAATGAATGTATTTGAAAAATGTTGTTCATTAAGATAAATGTGATTGTAATGATTGGAATTGTAGTGATTGTGAATCATTCTAGGTTTTTTGTACCTAAAGATTAC